GACCTCTGGGCTTCCTGGCTCCTGGATCTCTAGGGAGGTGCTAATCTATCCTTTGCCTGAGGCTATCCAGCAAAAGTCTCCCTGCAGGGCTTGGGCGGGGCGGGTCCCACGGGATCAACAGGGCGGGGTTAGCAATTATGGCTGCTCTCAGTCCTGCCCTCAGAGGCTCTGCTTCTCAGTGTCCCAGTAATCACTGCAAGCCCCACGGAGAGAAAGCTGCCCTCGGGTTCTGACCGATGCCAGACAGTCCCGCTTCTCCCATATGAGTCTGGGTCCCTAGAGACTCGCCCGGAACTGGAGCTCCGAGCCTGAGACTCCCTCCTGATTGAAAACGACAACCGCGCCCTCAGCCGCCAGCCCTCTCCACATGCACTCCGCACCTTAGTATTTTACTTCAGCACTGCGCCTCCTCTGAGGCTCGGTCTGCTTTTCTCTTTCCTCCTACTTGTAGAACTTCCACTCAGCCAGCCTTCCTGTGGTTCTGGATGATGTCTGTTCCGTCTTTTAGTTGTATTTTTGAAGTGGTTGTTTGAGACAGCAAACCGGTGTTTACCTATGCCGCCATCTTGGTTTCTCCCGAAAAGGTAATTTTTAAAAAGGTGAACATTAAATAGCCCAGCCAACATAGCTCAGTGGTTGAGCGTCAACCTCTGAACCAGGAGGTCATGGTTCAATTCCCAGTCAGGGCACATGCCCTGATTGCAGGCTCGATCCCCAGTGTGGGGTGTGCAGGAAGCAGCTGATTAATGATTCTCTCTCATCATTGATGTTTCTGTCCCTCTTTCCCTCTCCCTCCCTATCTCTGGAATCAATAAAAATGTATTTTAAAAAACGAACATTAAATAGCTGAATTGTGAGTATAATTTCTAATTCAGGTAGGTGTTTCTTCTATAGATAGGGGCAAGGTGCAAAGGAGGAATTGAGGCAATTAGTCAGGAGGCAGACCTGTGCTTCCTGCATCTGCCCAGATGATCCCTTTGGGAGTGGAAGGGGCGGGGGTGGGGGGGGGGCTGCACGGCCATGCTGACTCTCCAGGAGCCCAGCAGCCATGCTCTGCACCACGCCCCCTCTTAAATGGCTCCCCTTTGGAGGATTTTGTGGCAATCATTAAAAACTTTGCCAAAACAACCGCCTTAGGTGGCTGGTCAAAAGAAGGGCCATGCAAGACTTTCCCCTTCTTTTGTATCCCTGAGGTGTCAAACGTAGTCTTTCAATTTGAAAACACTCTGGTTCAAAAGCATTGGGATAAAAATGACTGGTGGAACCTCCAAGTCGCCTGGTTCTGCAGGCTCAAGCAGTAGTAGCTGAACTGGGGACCCCAGCCACCCAGGAAGCTAGTAAATGGAAATGGGGTCCCCGAGATGTTTAGTATTTCAGAACACCTAAAGGAAATCAGCACTTAGAGCTATAGCCGCCCGGTCCTGGCCTTCGAGTTGTCATCTCAGGATGGCAACCTGGGTATCTCATGCTGGTCAGAAACCCTGAACACCACGAGGGCACAAATGGTCATTTAACACAATCAGGCTCTTCCAGAGGTAAATACTTTACAACCCTGGCACTCAGAGGGCAGAGCAACAGCATGGGCTGCAGCTGGGCCTGGCTGGGTGTGCACACCCTCCGCCCCCGACCCAGACCCCTGGAATCAGGGATGTTGGAACAGGATCCCCAGTGACTTACACCTTAAAGCTGGAGAAGTGGGTACTTAACACTCCGGTGTGGGGTGAATTTCCCGCCAAAATATAAGATGGCTCTGTCTTTTGGTTTTGTTCCATCCACCAAAAGGGTGGATTACAAACAAATATTTGGTAATATGCAGTTACAATCGGCCCGAGTTTACACGTTTCCCGCACTCCACCGCAAATCTATATGAACCGAGTTAAAGACGGCTCCCGCGGAGTACGCGCAATTCACGCGAGCCGACTTAACTCGTTTCCCCCACTCCAAGTGTTAACAGTGATCAATTTGAGAATTACTCGTTCCTGGAAGTAAAACCATGAAGTAACCTACAAAGGCCATTAAAAATAAAAATAAAAATAAGGGTTGTAAGCTAGGTACAGCGCGCTTGCCTTGGGGAATGTTGGATCCCAAGTCACCATTAGTAAGAATCCTCAGACTAAGCCTTCAACCAGGATTTCGCAGGAGAGCCAGGGAGGAAGTTGACCTCATCGCCCCACAGTTAACCCCCAACATGGGCTGAGCATCTCAAAGGAAGCGGAGGGCAGGGCAGACCTCCAGCCTGGCTCTCCCTGAGGTCCATCCATGCTCCTCCTCCTCAATTAAGGCAGGTTTCTCTACACAGGAAGTCTCTCATCAGCTACTAAGAGAATACACTTTCTCTGTACGATTGTTTTTGTAGTACTCTAGTAATTGGAAAGAAATGCAGCAAATTTCCCCCCAGATTTTAAAAAAATGTATTTTATTGATTTTTTACAGAGAGGAAGAGAGAGGGAGAAGAATAGAGAGTTAGAAACATCGATGAGAGAAAAACATCGATTCAGCTGCCTCCTGCACGCCCCCTACTGGGGATGTGCCCGCAACCCAGGTACATGCCCTTGGCCGGAATCAAACCTTGGACCCTTGAGTCCGCAAGCCGACGCTCTATCCGCTGAGCCAAACCAGCTAGGGCTCCCCCCAGATTTTAATATGGGATAATAACTCCCTAATTGTGTGGAGACTCATTTCCGTAAACTCTTGCTTTGATGGACAATCTATGGGTAAACTACAATGTATCTACTAAGCTGGATGCTATACTGTGTGTGCGCTCTTAACTCAGTGGTTCTCAACCTTGGCTGCACATTAGAATCACCTGGGAATCTTTCTAAAACCCTGATTTCTGGGCCTCATCCTCCAGAAATTCTGTTTCTTTGTTATGGGGTGGGGCCACAACATTAGTAACAAAGAAACAGAATTTCCGGAGGATGGGGCCCAGAAATCAGGATTTTAAAGATTCCCAGGTGATTCTAATGTGCAGCCAAGGTTGAGAACCACTGTCTTCACTCATCCCATTTCCCCATATTCTGAGCTTGTTCTACAGAAGGGAAGCAGGCTCAGAGAAGTGACCTCACCTGTGCCAGGTCACCAGGCTACAAAGTGGCAGAACCCACGGTTCAAATTCAGGGGTAGCTTCCTCCCAGACCTACATCTTTGCCTGCCAGCCTCCCATGCACTGCACCAGGCCGGCCGAACTTGTACTTCCCGTAGGCCGATACCGTCTCTCCGGCCCAGGCCACACGGGGCACTGACCGTTCAAGAGCTTTGTAGGCTGTTAGATGGCAGCGAAGGGCCAGGCGGCTTCACATCACAGGCTTTTGCATTTCCTGATCTCTGAGGCACCAAAACGAGACAAGAAGCTGTTTTTTTTTAAAGGTATTTCCTGCTACGTGAAACCTAGAAATGTTAGGAACATCTGATCTTGTAGGGATTTTTCCAACCCCGCTCCACCCTTTCCTTGTTGAGAAAAAAGTCATCCTGTGGGTCCTGAGACAGAGCGCAGGGGCACGCTCTGGGGCAGTGTGGCCCAAGCCGTCCAGTTAGCATCTTGATGTGGAAGAGTGGGCTTTTAATTGTGATGATCCATCGGTTCTGGCTCTGCTTCTGCGTGAAGAACCCTCCACAAAGCTGATGGTCTACCTGTCACACAGGACGCCTGGGGTCTGGAGTGGGGCTTGGATGAATAGGACACAGAACACGTTATGGCTGCTAATGGCTGTAGGAATCATTTTGCCAAAATACTTATGATGTGCCTGGTGTTAGGTGAATAGCAAAGAAAATGGTAGAACTTGTGTCAAGAACCTTTCAATCTTGTGCAAGAGACAAACCAAGATAAAAAACACCAGTACAAGTTTTGCTAGTGTGGGTAGCCAAGAGGCGCAAAATCAGGTTGGTCTGTTAATGGAGTCCCACTGATTTCACCGTAGCCTTCCTCATAAGGGTCCCTCCCTCAGGTCCTGCTTGGTTTTGAGGTAGCTTCCTGCGCTCCGCCGCATCACACAGCCTTCTCCATGCTCCACAGGGCAGTCCGGCTGATACTTCCAAATGCACTTGTTTTGATGACTCCCTTTTAGAAACCATCAGCGGTTCCCAGCACCTACATCACCGAGAGAAAGCCCAACGTCCCAGGCCTGCCTTGTTCGTCCTGTCTGCTGCCTTCTGTGCCTCACACTCTGAATGCTCAGCTTCCTAAGTATGCTTGCAGTCTTCTTTAGTTTTGTTCATTCTCTTCCCCAAACCTCTGATGTCTCTTACGACTTGGCTCTTTAAAAGTGCACCATTTTGGTTCTCATTGTGACATGCAATGTGGCCTCGCTGCTAGGAACACGGGGCTGGAGCCAGACGCCATGGACTGTCATCGACTTGGCCACGTACTGTGTTACCTTAGCCAACTACTTTATCTATGATGTGCTTTAGGCTCTCATCTACGAAAAAGAAGTCAGACCTACTTCACTGGGTAGTGAAGATTATGTTAATTAGAACAATCCTGGGCACGTAGCAAGTCTGCAATAAACGTTAGCTATTAGTAACACTGTATTTTCTTTATTGGTGTCTGCCTCACTTGTCAACTCGAAGATCTTTGAGGTCAGAGACTGACCGTCTCTGGTCATCTGTGAAACCTCAGGGCGAGTGGAGAGCAGGTGCCCATGAATATGCCTGAAGTGAACCGTTAAGCACCTTTTGGGAGGTGAACACAAAACTCGGAAGACAGACTTGAGAAAGCATCCCAGGTAGGGACGATGACACACGAGAACGTATGAAAGAAATCTGTGTGGGAGGCCTGAGAAGCAGCTTTGATGACATGGAAATGCTGAGGACGGTGGAGCCAAGAGCAACTGGAAATGGTGTGACAAGGACTGTGTGGAGAATACAGCAACTGAAATGCAACAGAATCAGGTGGAGAAGATTCTGGCCGCAGGGAGACTAGTTAGAAAAGTTATGGCAATTATTCATAAGTAGCTATAACAGTTACTATTCCCAAACCCATCTTCCTTAAAAAGAAAAGGCAATTTCATGATCACAAAGAGGCCACATTTTTTAATTGACAACTCAAATCACTACATACATTCAGTATTGCACAAATTATAAGTGGGTTGACAATTATATTAATACAAACTCATGAGCATAAAGCAACTGCTCTAGGTTTTGGTGCAATTTGTGACAGGTACTTTAGTAAATACGACAAACATGAAGGAACTCAGCTACTTCAATTCATAAGACTTGGCTTTCAAGCATATGGCATCTCATAAAATAATATGTCAAGCTCAGGAAAATTAAGAATTAAATTACAAAAGGAACACTGTTAAAAAGAAAAATTGGTGATCAAAATGTTGGGTTAAAATATTAAGATTTAAAAATTTTAGCACTTGGACTTAGGATCCAGAAAGTATATGCATCCTGGGAATTTCAGGAGAAGACCCCTGTGCTCTGCTACACTCACTACTACATTCCAAAAGGGTGCGCTGGGTTACCACGTCTTCCCTGCAGGTATAAACCACTGCTTCATACTTCAAAAGCAACGTGGTCATTCACATAAAGGAGTTAACAAATAAGATTCTTCTCACTCAAAATAAAAATATGATCTCCATCAATTTACACAGAAATCTTATCGAAACGTCAACCAGCTAGAGAAGTCAGATCGCCCATTTACCTTCGCTGCCTGCCTTGGTGCTCCGGGCTGGCCTGTCACCTGAATGGAAGGGGAGATGTGAGTAGTCCCCGCTCTGTCTGTGCAGGTGGGCACAAGCCCTCCTCCTTCCCTGGGGTTTTGCTTCCTAATGTACAGAATTGATGGGGAGGGGCTAGATGGCTTGTAGGAGACCTTTCAAATAAAAGAATCTAAGCTTGAGATTCCATCTTCAGCAGATGTTTAGAGTGGCAAAGAAAATGGATGAAAAATGGTGGGTGAAGTATTTCTTACCTTTGATGCCATCACTCAAAACCATTCTGCACTGTATTTCAAGGAAATCTTTGACACTTTCATTTGATGGCTGATGCTGCTAAAGGGTAAGGAAATGAGGCATCTGTCAATGAAATTTTGGATACAAATGTAGAAAGGCTGAGCCAAGTTTGGGTAGAAAAACAATGCATCGCCATGTCAACTAGCAGTCAGGACTTTCTGCCTCTGAATTTTAAGAACCATCAATCTGGCCTAGAGATGCACATTCAAGCCATTCAACAGAGATACAGTGTGCACACCGACTAAGAATGTGTTTCCCGAAATCCTCCCAGGCCGGCACCTTCTGTAAAACTGGTTCTAACAGAAAGGATGCAAGAGAATTAAGTACAGGGCAGGATTTATTTTTCTTTACAGATCAGAAAAATGACCCAAAGAGAGTGATGGCTTCTCATATTGTCCCCTAAAAAGAAGACAAATATCACTTCTGAAATCTAACACACTGGCTTCATTTTCAAAATGCTTATTTTCCTCCTAAGGCAGCCATGCATTGTCAACCTTAAGCATGTGACAGTCACGATTTCTTCCACAGCTTTCCTGGAGCTTACAGCCAGAGTAGTCCTGAGGAGTCAAATATTAAAGCTTTCTCCACAGCCACATGTTCCTTTGATGTTGGGGTTATTGAACACAAACTCACTGGATAATTTGTCCTCAACATAGTCCATTTCTGTTCCTAAAAGTGTTAGCTGTGCTTTCTTTTCGATGAACACTCTGACTCCTGGGGGAGAAGAAAACACGTGTCATATAAAGCCTGCACACCAACAGGACCTGCGAGCCAAAGGTCAGTAAGCTTTAAATAGTAACACTAACAAAACCCAAACAGGGCGCTTTTGAATTTCTTATTGTTTCCTTTAAGGGATTCAGTGCTCAGTTTCCTGTCCCCTCTTTCTACACAAAAACAATTATATTAGGTCAGAAAGTTGTACCCAAGCAAATTCCATGACAAGTCTATGTAAAACTAGAATTTGCCTTTCACTATATTTCACCCATTTTTCAAATTTGCAACATAAGGAAAATGTGTATATTCAGTGAATTTTGTAAAGATGGAGACGATACATTTATGAAAACCCTGCAATGCCATCTATGCACATGACACATTGCCACACCAAAGACTGTGGTAGAGTGGGCTGGTTTAAGACAACGCAGCAGTTCTGTTCTTCTGTGCATGGGCTAGAAAACTGGTAGTAACATAACCCATAGTAATTATGTAGGCAGAAGTCAACATCTTCATAAATACAATCAGTTTAAGAAAGCTTTCTTCCTTATAAGAAATTGAGTCATTACTTAAATATAACCATACATATTTATTAGATCTCCTATTCATTAGGATGAAAAATTTAAGGTTTAAGTTTGTGTACTGATTTAAAAATAAAATATTAACAAATACCTTTCTTGGTTAGTAAATACAATTTAGTAAAATGAACTCAGACTAGGAATCCAGGAAAGCTGGCCAACAGCACACTTCTGATGCACAAAGCCACCACTGCAAAACCCATGTACACTGAAGTTCCCCTAAAGCTGTAGCACTATTTATTTTGTTTTAAATAGGCTTAATCAGATTATTGCATAGGGGCAGGCATTGGGGGCAAATATAATTAAAGACCTAAAAATTTTAATTTGGAAATTAAAATTGAAACTATAGAATCCTCAAAAGCATGAGATGACATTACTGATTTGATATATATGTAAAACTGCTACTTTACACAAAAGTAATCAGTTCATTTTGACGTTTTATCATCTTAAAAACTTTTTGCACAGAATAACCTTTCATAATTGAAACAAATAAATATATTTAACCAATAATCTACCCTAACTCTGCCATAAATCTGATTGGATTCAAATGTTCACTAGGCCACTTACTAGCTCTGTGACCCTATGCAAATTATTTAATCTCTCCATGCCTCAGTTTTCCTTATTGGCAAAATGGGGACAATATGGTATCATTCTCATTTGGAAAATCTCTCAAACCATGTCTACCTCATAGTGAACATTATAAATGTCATCCCTACTATTATTATGACTCTTGCTATATAAGGAGAAACATTTTAGGCAAAATAAAGTGCCCAGAAAAAGTTTGTTTAATACTCACCATCTTGAACAACTTCTTCATCAGAATCTCCTTTTGTTTTTGTATATTCTAGAGTATAAGAAAGGCCATTGCAACCCCTGGTTCGGACACCAACTTTCAAGCCTACCTGAAAAATAATTGTAAATATAAACTTAATTTTAACATAGTACAGATTAAACAATCATATTTAAAAAGTCCTGGCTATATGATATTATTCACTTCTTCATTTCTTTTTAAGCTAAAAGATATACATTAGAGGCCCAGTGCACAAAATTCGTGTACTCAGGGGTGAGGGGTGTGTGGTCCCTCAGCCCAGCCAGCGCCCTCTCGCAGTCTGGGAGCCCTTGGGGGATGTCTGACTGACGGCTTAGGCCCGCTCCCCACAGGGAGCAGGAGAGGTTCCCGCCACTGCTGCTGCACTCAACAGCCGTGAGCCTGGCTTATGGCTGAGTGGTGTTCCCCATGTGGAAGCTCACTGACCACCAGGGAGCAGCTCCTGCATTGAGCATCTGCCCCCTGGTGGTCAGTGTGTGTCATAGTGATTGGTGGTTCTGCTGTTCGATTGATTTACATATTAGCCTTTTATTATATAGGATTCCTGGCTATAAAATAGCTCTTTAGAAAGTATAAGTGGAATGGGAAGCAAGTATTTTAAAAATTTACTTATTGTACAAACATTATTATGACACTAAGGGGTGGCCCAAAAAGAATCAAAACTAATTATATACAAAGAAAACAATACAGAGGGGGGAAAAAACTCAAACTATAGTCACTGGGAATAACATTGTAAAGGAAAGAGTTTTAATTAAAAAAAAAAGAAAAAGAATAATCACTCTTTTTAAAAGGAAAAAGAAAAGTATCTGAATGGCAGAGATGACAACTTAAAAAAAGGAACTTGGCCGTAACCGGTTTGGCTCAGTGGATAGAGCGTCGGCCTGCGGACTGAAAGGTCCCAGGTTCGATTCCGGTCAAGGGCATGTACCTTGGTTGCAGGCACATCCCCAGTGGGGGGTGTGCAGGAGGCGGCTGATGGATGTTTCTCTCTCATCCATGTTTCTGACTCTCTATCCCCTTCCCTTCCTCTCTGTAAAAAATCAATAAAATATATTAAAACAAAAACAAAAACGAACTTGCTCAAAAACACTTCTGCTCCACCTCATCATGTGAGATGTTCTCAGGAAGTTTCCCTATGGTTAGGTTCGCCAAGGTCCACAGACCTGGCAATCATGCTGCCTCTAACAGGGCCTTAATTCTAAGGCAGAGTTGTGTCAACATTCTCAAATACCAGGAAGCAAAAGACTGATGTCAACAGAAATGTAAGAAATTTAAAAAGTGACCCAACAGCACTCTTAAAATACCAAAGTCTGCCTTAATGTAATTTTCTAACAATATCTACAGAATTTCTATTCTTGGATCCTATCTGCGTTTTCATTTATGTATACAGCAAAAATATCATCATAAAAAGTATTATTTCACTAAGCAGATGTTGATTCTCAGAAAAGCAGCAACATGTGCTTGCTTTCGGAAAGCGATCATGAAGGAGGAAGACACTGGTGAAGAGTGAGTTAGAATGTCAAGCTGTCTGGGAGTTTTGATGAGCTGAATCATTCAGAGTAGTCTCTTCTGTCCTTAAAGAGCAGCAAGGACAGAGCCATGATTTTATTCACCTTCAGAGTGCCAGCTTAGAGAGCCTCGGAGGCAGTTTAACATATTCAGCATAAATACACAATAAATTGTCTAGCTGAAGTTCTGGAGCTCAAGTCATAAGTATTTAACTTAGTCTTTATCGTTGTAGACAGGAAGACGCAAGCAGGACGTCCAACTATCAGAATGGATCTAGACACTTAAACAGTATGTGAAAGTACAGCTTTAGGTAACTGGAATTTGGAAAAGGGATTGACTGCCACAGTGACACCAGATGAAGTGCTTGCTCAATCCTTTTCATGTCACCATGACCAAATCCACAAAGTTAATTTTTTTGTTTCATTTGGTTAATTTCTACTCTAGTCATTAGTGTATCCAAATGGAGTTGGAACACTGACATACGTTAGCACATAATCATTCATAGGAGGAAGGTGCCAGAACTCCCATTGTAACAGGACGTTGTACAATGGAATCTAGAAACCACTCTGTAGTCTCATCAGTAAATGTTAATAGTCTTGGAAGTAATTTACAGTATTCTGTAGGCAATTAGCAATACAATAAGACTAAGATTATGTACACACTCTTTACTCATCAATTCCACATCTAGGGATATAGCCTATGTCCATGCACTAAGCTACGCTCACAGGTCTAGAACAATGGGCCTGGTGTACTATAGACACTAAATATTTGTTGAGTGATGTTTGTGGCAGCACTGAATGAAAACAACCCCAAAAAAACCTTTAATATGGGGGGACTGGTTAAATAAATCAAACTTGTTCAATGGACTATACTATTAAATGCAGCCAGGAATAACAATGAGGTGGATCTTTATGTAAAGACTAGAGGCCTGGTGCACAAATTTGTGCATGAGTGGGATCCTTCAGTCTGGCCAGTGATTGGGACTGATGAGGGGGGGTTGGGGGGAGACTGCCCGCCGGGGAGAGGGACTGCAGGAGGTTGGCTGGCCGCCCCTGCCCCACATTGGGTCTGATGAGGGGGAGGGGGCAGCCGGCTGCGGGGAGGGACCGTGGGAGGTTGTCCCCAGCAGCAAGCTAACCAATGGAATCGGGCTCCCTCCTTTCTCCTGTCTGGGTCTGGGGTGTGGGTGAAACAGATTCGGGGCTGTCAGGGCCCCAGCAGCAAGGTCTGGGTCAGGGCGTGTCATAGTTACTGGCCAGTCGTTCCGGTCATAATGGTTGCTTAGGCTTTTATATATATATAAATATGAAAAGATCTTCAAGCTATTTCATTAGGGGCAAAAAGCAAAGTGTAACTACAGCATATATGGTATGTTCTCACCTAAGTAGGAAAGAAAATACACACACAAGTTTAATAAGCAGAGTTGAGGCCAGTGGTTCCCCCCTCAAGGAAATATTTTTGGTTGTCACAACTGAAGAGTGAAATGGAGTCACTGGCAGAGGCTATAGATGACACTAAACATCCTGCAATCTAAACCCAAAAAAGAGAATTAGACAGCCCAAAACAACAGTGCTGAGGCTGAGAAACCCTGGTCTAGGTAAATAAAACGTACAGATTATCTCCAAAGGACACTAAGAAGTTGCCTCTTGAAAGGGAGAATGATGACGAAGTGTCTGGGGTAAGAGAGTGACTTCCTTTTCTGAGTATCCTGTTGTATTATGTGGATTTAGGGAGCGTTTGAGATGTTGGTCCCTGGCTATGTTGTCAGTTTGGCTCAATTAAACTAACCCCTAATTAATAGAAGCATATTGTTTATCACAAGACAAATTCATTGTGAAAATACAACTTTATTTGACTGGTTTACTTACATGTTCAGGCTTATCTTTAAGAAGTTGTTTTATCTTGTTTACTGCTGAAGGTGTCTGAAAAAGAAAATGTTAAGTTTTTAGCTACAAAATTTGCATTCTTCAAATCAAAGCCTTCTATTTTCTAGTTTTTAAGACTACTCAAGTCTATCTGCAGCAAATTCATGTGATGAATTTATGTTCCATTCCCACCACGGTACCTTGTGGATTTTATACACAAACATATGAACTGTACTTAATTAAAGTCATTCCCTTTATTTTTCTTTCTTATTTATTATCCTCACCAAGGATATGCTTTGATTGATTTTTAGAAAGAGAGGAAGGAGAGAAACATTGATATGAGAAAGAAACATGAATTGGTTGCCTCCTATATGCACCTGGACCAAAGACTGAATTCGCAACCTAGGTAAGTGCCCTGAATGGGAATAGAACTTGCAAACTTTTGGTGTATGGGACAATGCTCCAACCAACTGAGCCACCATCCAGGGCTTAATCACTGTCTATATTTTTAAAATGTCTTCTAGCAACAGCCTTTTCATCTTGCTCCCTCCAGTAAAGGTCCACTCCCTGTCATAATCTCTATGGTACTATCCATGTGCATCACAAATGTAACCTTTCTGGGCAGCATCTATTTTGTGCTCCTACTGGATGTCCAGCAGTAAGCACATTGCCCGACACACAGAAGGCGCTCAAAAGTCAATGAATGAATCAAGTTAATTCCTGGGAAAGCCAACTTTCAGGCATTTTTCCTGTTGATTAACTCCATTGCTCTTTTTGCTTACCCCAAATCTATTTCAACCCATCAAAATGCACACCTAGATGAAAGAGTGCTACCATCATCAAATAACCCAGTGTGTGTCTCTCATCCCAGTCTCACCAAATGTTCAGATATAAAGTTGGCTTTCTGGGCCAGTGTGGCTCAGTGTTTGAGCATCGACCCAGGAGGCTATGGTTCAATTCCTGGTCAGGGCACATGCCCAAGTTGTGGGCTGGATCCCCAGTAGGAGGGCATGAAGGAGGCAACTGATCAATGATTCTCTCTCATCATTGATAATTCTATCCCTCTCTCCTTCTCCCTTCCTCTCTCTGAAATAAATAAAAACATATTAAAAACAATGTTAAAGTTGGCTTACATCAGTATTTCAGGGTATCTAAGCTAATTAATACAGTGGGGCCTTGACTTATGAGTGTCCCAACTAATGAGTTTTTTGAGATAACAGCTGTCTCTCGGCCGATTTTTTGCATTGAGTTGACAGAGTAATTTGAGTTAACGAGCTCGATCTCGGAATGAATTAAACTCGAATTAAACTCGTAAGTCAAGGCCCCACTGTAATAGAAACAAGAACAGGGAGGAGTTTTTTTGGGGGGAGAAATGCTTTTAACCTAGTCCAGCTGTCCTCAAAATAAGAAAAACATCACAACATACTGCATGTGTATCACCAATTCCACTTTCTTGAGAAGGAGGCTGTTAGGGACAAAGTCTGTTCCAGGGCATTCCTGGTCTACCTCCTAGCTGTGTCCCAGCCCATTACTTGGCTTAAATGGGTATAATAGTCTCTCTTCTTCAGGATTCATGAAGACCATGTAGAGCAGTGGCAAATATAAACCAGCTGTTGTTATGACGATGAAATCATGTCCTTCCTACTTTATTAGCTCCTCTAGCTGGCAATGCTGTGCTGGTCCTCCAGTTTTTTGTACTGGCATTTTCCTGGTTTGTGAAATCCCAAAGAGTGGACATCATGACCTGTGATGGGGCAGTAACTCTGGCCAGAACTCAAGCCTGTGCCGAGGGAGCAGACCCAATGGATGGCCCCAGAGTATGCTCTTCTGCTTTGCCCCGTGGGGGCTCAGCCAGATGAGGATGGTGAAGCAAAGTCTGAACCCAAATTAGAAACGTCATGAAACCAGTTCAGAAGGTCGAGACTAGCATTTTTAAAACACACACAAAATAGAAAACAATGCATTGCAGTTGATAAAGATAAATGTGCAGTGAAACTTTTATTTCAGTTATTAATATACTATATGTATATTTTATTGTGTATCACTGTAAAAACAAAACAAAACATATTACTACCAATGTCCATAAATCACTACCAAAGACATTGAAGAAAAAAAATTAAACAAATCACTACCAGTGTCCTTAAAGGCCCTTTCTCACGATTTTATCCTAACAGGAGGCAAGCCGCTCAACAACAAGACAGGGAACAGTACCCAGGGGGAGAAAGAAGGAAATGCTGAAGAGAAGAATTATGGCTTTTATTTATTTTGGAAACCACAGCATTCCAACCTCAAAGAGTTACAGAAATATTAATGAAAAAAATTTTAAAGTGCTCGTTTACCCTTCTAAATGACTGAGGATAAAAACTAGCTTGCATAATTTTTATGGTCATATTTCCCATGAGGCCTCAAGAACTTACTCGAATTATTGTCAAAAAGCAAACGATAGCTGATAAATTACACACAAAAAGCACAGCCATGGGAAAATATTCTTTGGAAGTACAACCCAAGGTATAACCTTGGCTAAAGCTGGTGGGTCAAAGGTGTAGAGGGCGCACCACTGCTTGAAGTAAACAAAACACACTCGAGGGTCTGTACACTAAGCTGTCAACAAGCCCCAAGGGTTTTTATCTCCAAGTGACTTTCTAAGTGACCTAATTTAGTTTTACAAAATAATATATTTTCTTTTTTTCTCAGCTCTTAGTAAAAAGAGGAACCCTCAATTTTTCTGTGTCAGGAAAATCCCAAATAGACTCCACTGGGAGAAGTGCTACTAATGACCGATGCCCTAGTTTAGTACTCATCTAAGGGGAAAGATATGGTTCTTCTAACTTTCCAAGTGATGGATCCAATTTTCAGAACAAGTCAGAATGACTAAACAGGGAACATTTGGGACTAAAAGATAACTTCCGGGCAGACGCTAAGGGGCCCCTTTGCTCTAAATCTATTTGCATACTTCAGCAACTTTGCACTTAAGTAAAATCAACCTGGGAAATAGTATAAAAAGTCCAAATAAACAACAGGCTGCAAGCTAGCAGCATTCCCATTTCACTGCATTTCTCAATTAAGAACCCCATGCCTTTCCAAGAAATTTATGTATAATTAATGACTAGGTCACTTGAGATTTGGTTAGTGAATTAAAATTTAAGAGATTCTTAATGGGGGGGGGGTGGAAATGGAGGACATCTGTAATACTCTCAACAATAAAAAGTAAATTAAAAAAAACCTTGAGACTCTTAAAACTCAATGAGATATAACAATGGTTTTTAATCTACTCATATGTATATCACAGAACAAGACATTCGTTCAAGTGAAGGAACATCTTTGAGTGAGATAGTGTGGCCTTTTAGAAAAATATTTCCAGTTTGTTTTTTGTGTTAACATTATGGAAGAAGGCACTGTAGATGATGCATTTTTCACCTATTTCTTAGCAACATACCTTTATCCAATGCCATAGGGTTTCTCTCCTTTGTAGCAAAAACTTTTCATTCTCAATACTGTGTTTCCTTGAAAGGAGACACCAAGTATGAATCATGTCCTATAGTTCTTGTGATTTCAAAACCTTAGGAAATCCGAATAATCGATGGTATATCTTTGAAACATGAAAACAGGCTTGGTGGTATGGGGAAAAGTAATACAGAATATGGCCTAAAATGTTAATCCATTGTAAAAACGAATTCTTCCATTTTGCAACAACGAATTTTCTGGCTTATGGCACTATACTGACTGGAATCAATGATTCCATTAAATACAGTAATCTGTTTTCCTACTATCTAGGTCAGCGGTTCTCAACCTGTGGGTCCCGACCCCTTTGGGGGTCGAATGACCCTTTCACAGGGGTCTCCTAAAACCATCGGAAAACACATATATAATTACATACTGCTTTTGTGATTAATCACTATGCTTTAATTATGTTCAATTTGTAACAATGAAAATACATCCTGCATAGCAAGTATTTACATTACGATTCATAACAGTAGCAAAATTAGTTATGAAGTAGCATCAAAAATAACTTTATGGTTGGGGGTCACCACAACATGAGGAACTGTATTAAAGGGTTGCGGCATTAGGAAAGTTGAGAACCACTGATTTAGGTGATAAATACTTGAACGAAGTCTTCTCCTTAATCAGAGAGAGGGAGATGTGTGAGAAGGCCGCTGATCGCAAGCTTCCCAATGAAATTAATCTTTCCAAACTGCAAATGCACACGCCAGGGTTTTCTTTTGGGACGAAATGTTTTGGAACGACACAGAAACGATGGCTGGACAACACTGTGAATGTACTAAGTGCCACTGAATTGAACCCTTTAAAGTGGTTCATGTTACGTGAATTTTCCTTTGGTGACAACAAACAGAGGTCGGGGGTCGGCATGAACGCTGAGTTCTTTGCGTGTCGGATTTGCACTCCGCTGCCCTCTGAGTGTCAGACCTCTCACCCAAAAATCGCTGTAAACAAACGCAGGGCAGACACCTTCATCCTTCTTTGTTCCTGGTAGGCGGCCTAGAACAGCCTCCACACGGGGGGTGTTGCAAAGAGCCTCCGCTAACCCCACACCAGGAAGTAACCCTCGATGCCCCGCAGCCTCCGTCAGCGCAGGGAACGCACCCTCATCGCCGAGCACCGCACCGACACCGAGGCCGTCCGCCCCAAGCACCTCAAGGGCCAATTCCGGTTTATTCACCCGGCTACGCCCCGCGCCCGGCCCGTTCGACCTCTAAACCTACGACCTCCAGCACAGCACCCCAAGGCCCCCGGGGGGGATCCTGGGCAGCAGGCAGGCCGCGCCGACCCCACCGCGGGGTCACGCACGCACACCGCCCCTCCCCCCAGGCGGCGCGCGGCCCGATGGGAAACGTAGTACCGGGGGGCGCCGGCTCGGGCGGAGCAGCCCCTCCCGGATCTATTTTCCCAGCAAGGACGAGGGCCTAGGGGTGCGGGGCGCAGGGCTGCGGAGCGGGCTGGGGCCCCGCCGCCCCGCCGTAGCGCACCCCGCCGCCCCGGCCTCCCCGCGCGGAGCGGAGGTGAGCCAATGTCACGGGCCAGGCCGCGCGCCCGAAAACTCACCAGGGTGAGGGCGGCCCGGGTGGCCTGCAGCTTCCTCTTGCTCACAGCCCGGACGGTGGCCCGGACTAACGAAGCCGACATCCTGGCCGGCCCGGCGCCCTGATGTCTCGGGCCGCAGCTCAGATGCCTCAGCCGCTCTCCATGGACACACAGCGGCGCATTGACGCCACAAGCTCCGCCGCTGGCTGCCTCAGGCCTCGCCCCGCCCCGCCGCCCCGCCCCGCCGCGCCGCCATTGGACGGGCCGCGTGAGTGATGGGCGGAGGGCGGGCCGTGGGCCGTGACTCGGCAGCACAGGGCCCGGGGAAAGGTGGCCACCGCGAGGGCACAGGGCGTGGTGCCGGCGCGGGGCCGAGGCGCGTGGCTCCGGGCGCTTCCCACGGGCCGGGTGCACCACCGCTTGACGCCGCCGAACAGTCAGCCCGGCTCGGGAGCTGGTGCTCTCCAGGCAGATGGTTCCGAGGCCCAAACGGCTCCAGACGCTTCAGTCTTCTTTTTCGGTCCAGCTGGACCAGATGTTTCTTCACTTGAAATCATGTCTTATAATTTTGGAGCTAGAATTACCGCAGAGTCGTGGGATAAATAGAGCCCCCGAGCAAGCGTGCTGGACAGCCTGGGGTGGTGAAGGATGGAGCTAATGCAATCTTCGCTTTAGGTGTTGCTTTTGGAAAACACTACCGTATCCTAAAACCTGACTGGGCAGCTCTGTGGATGCGTACATTTATAGTGTCAGACCTTACCGTGGCTGCTTCGGGGCCCTGCCTGTTAATTCAGCAAATATTCCTGAGCACCAGGCACTAATAGGAAGCCTGGTAAACGGAGGGCCCAGGAAGAATGAGAGATCCTGGTAGGACAGACGTGCAGCAGGGTTAGCCGATGGGAGAACATCAGAATATACGCCATTTCTCACGGAAGTACTAGAACTAAATGGGGGAAGGGGTGGTGCTGGGAGGATAGAGTCTTGCTCATGGTTTTGATGTGGAAAGAACCAATCTGGGCAGTGTGTTTGCAACCTAGTTTATCTTTAATGCTCTAATTCAAGCTTATCAAACTTGTGGCCTGTGGGCCGCCTGTGGCCCACAACGAATATTTTAGTGGCCTAGCCAATATAATGGTATGGGTATGTAAGAAACGTTTTAATAAAAATTTCATAACTTAATTTTTATAATATCCTCTTAATTATTCTGCTGTGTATTCCTTCCAATGTGTTCTTTGTGTTATGTCATTCTTTCAGACTGTTCTTTTTTTCATAGTGACTATATCTTTTTTTATGCTGTTGAGCATTTTTACTATTATTACTCTGAACTCTGATTCAGACAAATTTCTTATCTCTGCTTCATTTATCTCTTCTGGGGAATTCTCTAGTTCTTTCATTTGGGGGTTGTTTCTTTGTCTCCTCATTTTGGTTTTCTTTTTGGTTTTATGACTATGTATTAGGTAGATCCTTTTCACCTCTCAATCTCTAGTGCACGACAATGTTAAAGGCTGTTTCTGACTAATTAGATCAGGCATAGACTCAAAGCCTTCATCAATAGCCTCTGCCTACAGACTGGTAAGATTCCGACTTGAAATGCCCCCCAGGTGTGGTGAAAGTTATTTTCAATAGGGTGGGGCAGTTTCTTCTGCTGGAGATTAATTCTTAGTTGTTTTTTTTTAAATATATTTTATTGATTTTTTACAGAGAGGAAGGGAGAGAGATAGAGAGTTAGAAACATCGATGAGAGAGAAACATCGATCAGCTGCCTCCTGCACATCTCCCACTGGGGATGTGCCCGCAACCCAGGTACATGCCCCTGACAGGAATCGAACCTGGGACCTTTCAGTCCTCAGGCCGACGCTCTATCCACTGAGCCAAACCGGTTTCGGCTAATTCTTAGTTTTAATCTCTTAAGTGGCCTCAGGGCAAGGTGTTATCCAATAGACTGTTTTCCCCCAGGCAAGGCAGACAGATGTCTATGTGGGAAAGATGTCTTCCGCTGCATGAGGGAATGACTCAGCCCAGGAAATGTGGGGTGTCTGCCTTGTGAGCTCTGTCCCCCTGAGTCCCCAATCCTGGCTTCTGCTCTCACAGCTCCAGTCCACTTCACCCTCCCTCTGCCGGAGCACAAGGTGGGTGGCTCCACAGGGAATTTAGTGTGTTGGTCCTTTCAGGGGGTGCCTGAGTTTTCAGCTGTTACTCCCTGGCAGATAGCACCTTGCTGCTTTTTACAGCCAGATGTTATGTGGGTACCCTCCTCAGGTTTGTGCTCTCTGGGGGCCCAGCTTGGGGATTAGATCCCAGAGTTCTCAGTGGCAACCCCCTACATCTGAGATATCTCTTTGGAACTTCAGTTGCTGTCTGTGGGTGCCCGGCCAGCTCTTTCAAGCCTCCTCCCCTCCCTCCTATCAGTCTCTATGTGGTCTCCACTTTTGGTCCTTGGGTATTAGGGTTCTCTACTGTGAGTTTTCCATGTTCGTGATACATCCACTTACTCTGCCGCCATTTTTAATCTCCTCTCATTGCCTGTTATACATAATCCAAATATATAAAAGCCTAATATGCAAATTGTCCTCTCAGGAGTTCTATCACTCACTATGATGTGCACTGATCACCAGGGGGTGGTATGGAATGAAGGAAGGCTCTGGCCAGCAGCAAGAAGGCCTCTCTCTCTCTATAAAAGCCAAGTGACTAGAACGCCGGAATGACTGGTCACTATGATGTGCACTTCGGCCAGCCAACTGGCCCGATTGGGAGGGTGGCCCCTCCCCCTGCTGGCCCAACCTGATTGGCCCCCATCGGGGTGGGCTGGCTGGACCCCACCCATGCACGAATTCATGCACCAGGCCTCTAGTTATTAATAATGAACTACAATGTTTGCTAATGACTGATTACTATAATTGTGTTGCATTCATTTCCTTTACGTGCCTTACGTGCAGGCACACCATTTCTCTCTGCTAATACTAGCAGTGAATATTTAGCAGCCAATTGCCACGTCATTAGTCTTGGACTGACTTGTTTGGTGTGTGCAACAGGAAATATTTTGTGTTTAAAGAACAAGAAAAATAGGTTTATTTACCTTACGTTTATTATTTTATGCAGTAATTCAGTGTCTGGTAAGTTAATGTTCAAGAAAAAATATTAATTTTTATTAAAATGTTCTATTATTTTGTTAATGATTACTCATTTATTTCAGCCCTTTGTATTCAGCATGTCTCTATTGAAATAAACCTACGTCTCTATGAAAACTGAAGCTTTTGTTTTTTTTGCAGCCCACATAAACTTAAACCTTATTTATTTGGCCTGTGTTAGCCTTTGAGTTTGACAGGCTTGTTCTAGAGCAGTGGTTCTCAACCTTCCTAATGCCGCGACCCTTTAATACAGTTCCTCATGTTGTGGTGACCCCCAATTTCATTGTTACAACTTGAACATAATTAAAGCATAGTGATTAATCACAAAAACAATATGTAATTATATATGTGTTTTCCGATGGTCTTAGGCGACCCCTATGAAAGGGTTGTTTGACCCCCAAAAGGGTTGCGACCCACAGGTTGAGAACCACTGCTCTAGGGCCTACAGGAGTGGTTAGAAATCCTGTTAAATAGTTCCCTCTCCCTGGTACTGAAATGCAATTGCACTGACAATAAGAGTGTAAGTTATTTTTTCCCTAACCTCCAAAACTTAGAAGAAACTGGGATTAGGAGACAGAAGTGTGATAGTAGTTGGGTGATTTAGGAACAAGGTATTTTACTTCTCATGTCCTTCCTCCTACAGGTATTGTGAAGATCAAATGAAAAGCCCTTAGATGAGTGCATGGCACATTGCAGTGCCCAGTAAAAGTTGCTAATTAATAATGGATATTTAAAGATGCCATATATTTCGAAACTATTCTGTGACACTACAAGGGTGGATGCATGCCGTTAAATATTTGTCTAAATCCATAGAATGTACCACACCAAAAATGAATTCCAATGTAACCTATGCATTTTGGGTGATAATGGTGTGTCCCTGTACTAGTAGGTTCTTGGATTGTAACAAATGTCCTACCCTGGTGCAGAATGTGGACAGTGGGGAAGTTTGGCTTGTCCGGGCTTATGGAAACTGTACTTTCTGCTCAATTTTGCTGTGAAAAACTGAAGTTAATAAAAATGTAAAAAAACACAAACACACACACAAAAAACCCCACAAAAGGCCCCGGCCAGGTGACTCAGAGCATTGTCTAGATATCCAAGGTTTCAGGGTTCAATCCCAAGTCAGGACACTTACCAGAATCAACCAATGAATGCATAAACAAGTAGGAAAAAAAAAAAATCAATGTTTCTCCTTTCTCCTCTCTCTAAAAATCAATCAATAAAAAAATATAAGTCCTTTTAAAATGTAAAAAAAATTACCTGTTATCATTTTTATCAATTACTAAAATATCACACAGTTGTGTAGCACTTTACAGCTTTTAAAAGAACCCTTAGCACACTGTCATAGTAGCCTCACAACTTTGAGCTGTATAGGTCAGGAATGTTGGTGCGGCTATTTTACAAGCAATGCTTTAAATATAATTCATCACACGCTATTTTTAAATTTTAGCTCTAAGTCTTCTGATTCAGGACCCTGTGGTACATTGAACAGCCTTCTTTCCTTTAAGACACACTACTTAGTTTTTAACTTGGTTAGGTGTTTTGCAGGTTAAGTGCTAAATCACAAAATCTACTTGTCAGTGGTTCAGTAATACCTAATGTTATTTGAAACTGGCGCAGGTCCCTTAAATTGGATTTAAAAGAGTTTTCATGAGTAAGAAATATGTGCACTCCTTTATCTCAGAGCAGGAGCTGTTCTGTGATGTGGAAATGAGGTGGGGTGGGAACTGTTAAAAGAGATTGCAAGCTGTAACCATTTTTAGATGTCAACAGGGAAATGTTCAATATTGCACCTCAGGATTTAGTTTCAGGGTTCTAGACATTTAAAAATGTCTTTTCCTAGTAAGACCTTACTTGATCCTCACCACACGGTGGAAGGGCAGGTATGAATTCCATTTTATATGCAGGGAAATGGAACTGCCAAAAGGTTAGGAGGAGTGCTACACTCCTAGCTGGAAAACTGGCAGAGCCAGACCCCCTTTAAGTCTAGAATTTCACACAGTGAAGTTTGCTAAAGTCTTGACTGCTGCCCATACATACCTGCTTTCAAAGAAAAAAGCATGGAGCACATTTTTACAGTTTTATAGGGGGTTCTTAAATTCTGTATTTGCTTTTCAAAAAAAATTTTTTTTGGCCTGAAACACTATGAACCCTTTTGACCTATCTACCCACAAATTTTCCCACTTGAGAAATATTAAGAAAACCCAGAACCATTTGTAAAATACATTTTAAGATGAAAAAATAAACTGAAGTTATCTCAGAACAATTAAATAACATCTTTGGGCACATTGTTGATACTGTACACACTGAGCAAGAGATTTGTAAGTATTGATTGGGGTTATAAAAATGGATTTCATATTTTTGTTTGTTCCTGAGAGAAAGAGAAAAGAACCCCAGGAGTGGGGCATTTGTAGAGCCTGTTAAGAGAGAGGCCAGCTGCATTCAAAAGATAGCTACTCTCAGGGAACTGGACGTGATATGGAACAGATGTATCTGTCCCCCAGGGGCGTTGAGAAGGGGCTATCACTGGCATCCAAATGAAGGGAGCAAAAAGCCAAGGGCAACACTGCCCAGGTCTGCTGGCAAATACTGGCCACTGTCCCCCTGATCCAGTGGAAAGGCTCAAAACCAAACTAAAAGCATAGTACACTGGGTGGAATCTACTTTGGAAATCAGACCAGAATGCAGGGAACTTTCAATATCCTTAAAAGGATGTAAGAAAACATGGTTTCTATGAAAAGGAAGACAATGAAATTAAGCTAAAATGAGAGGAAATGGAAAGTGGTTGAGAGTAAGTCAAGAAAATAAGTTAAATGAAAAAATTTAGTTAGAAATAGCAAACAGCAGAATGGTACTAAAAAAATCAAGCTAGTCATGTGGAGGTTAAATTTGAGAAGTTTTCCTAGCAGGAAGGAAAAAGATGAGAGGAATATTAAGACAAAAGGATTTTTGAGAAAAAAAAATTAAAAACAGATACTTTCTCAAACTGATTAAACCCTAGCCAATTTGGCTCAGTGGATAGAGCATCAGCCTGCAGACTGAAGGGTCCCGGGTTTGATTCCGGTCAAAGGCACATGCCTGGGTTGTGGGCTCGATTCCCAGTAAGGGCGTGCAGGAGGCAGCTGATCAATGACTCTCTCATCATTGATATTTCCATCTCTCTCTCCCTCTCTGAAATCAATAAAAATATATTTTTTAAAAAAAGCTCTGGCTAGGTTGCTCACTTGGTTGGAGTGTCGTCCCATATACTAAAAAGCACGGGTTCAACTCCTGGTCAGAGAACAAACCTAGGGTTTGGATCCCAGTTCGGGGCATGTACAGAAGGCATTGCTGGATGTTTTTTTTCTCTCTTTCAGATCAATACAAAAAATACCCTTGGGTGAGGATAAAAAAACAACAATAAAAAAAACTTGGGTAGGGAGATACATTGGATTCAGTTTTGTTTCGACAAAAGTCACCGACACAAAAGATACAGGAATAAACACACAAGCTTCAAAGCAGAAAAATAAAACCTGCAAGGGAATAAAAATCAGGCTGGCCTCAGACTTCTGCTATCATGCCAGAAGACAACCGTGTCCATAGGCTTTCCACAGAAAGTCTGACAAGAACTGTATGCCCAGTCAAGCTGACTTTCATGCATGAAGGCAAGAGAGGAACTCGGAAGAGCAGCAGCCGAGGAAAGTCATGTAGAGCAGAGTTTCAGCCCAGGTTGCATAATTCACTTAATTTACAAGTTTGTATTCATTCCATGTGAGTAAGGAATGATCACTAATTCTATCACAATTCTGAAGTTAATTTTTATATGATTCTTCTTTAGCTGGAATATGTTTTCAAGTAATTTATTTAAAAGAAGGGCCATGGGTGTATATGTTTTGAGTTCTCCCCTACCTAGGAATGCCCAGCAAAAACCCTCTGGTACCTCCCTCTACGAATTTGTTCTCCTAAACCTGTGCCTATTTGTGCATTCCTAGTGCTTGCCACACAGTGGGTGTCAATGAACACCAGCATAAGCACAAGTAAAGGGAGCACGAGATAAAAAGGCTCAGATCTGTACTGCCCTGACTCCCGATCTAGTTTCCTCATAAAAGTTAGGATTCTCACTAGAAAGGGATGTGGATAAAATTACAGGTCGAAAATTGGCTTTTATTTCAAAATCAAACTGAAGCATAGTTCTGACCATGTACTACTTTTGAAAGGCTTGTGAAGTTACAGAAACAGTTCCATAAGGGTTCCAGTCAGACCCAAAATGACACCAAGCAAACTTATAATTGGCAGAGATGGCTTCTTTAATCTGCAGGGATTTTTTTGAAGTTCTCCACCCTAATTTCTGAATATCATAAAAAGTAAAAAGCACTTTTGTCATTTTTCCTTTGAAAATGTTTTTAGCAGCAAACAGGACTACTTGTTTTCCTCACTTCATTTTTAGGAGCATAGTAGATATATGTCAACTTAATTAAAATTAGAGAGGGAAAAAACCAAAAAGGCCCTCATTGGCATTGCTCATCCATGGAAGACTCACATAAACAGGTAATCACTTTCATGTTATCACTTCTTCTACAAATATCAATAAAATAAGGTTTGTAAATGGTAAATACAGTAGTAGCAGTTCACATATATTTGACACACTTTCACACAGGATTCAGTAAACAACAATAAATATAATTTCCCCTCTTCAGAACAAAAAAAGGGATTTATAGGAAAGAAAGGATTAATTTCTTGGGGTTTATCAGCACACCATTTTAGTGTGATTTGAAAGAATTAAAAACCATGAAATTGTATTCACTGAATACTGGCCCATCGTTACTTTTTTTTTTTTTTTTTTTTTTTTAACCTGGCTTAAATACACACACCATGGCTTTCTATTAAAATCCTTAAATCTATGAGGATTTGTGGTAGGTAAGACTACATTAAAATTTTTTTCCTTATTATGAATTTCATTCAGTTAAAAAAAATCTGACATTTCCCTTAAATGTTAAGTTGAAGCCTGATCTATGCTGCTGAGTCCTGTAAAATGAACCTAATTTTCAGAGTGATTAGGAATGCCTGAGTGGCCATTTAGAGCGCTGCATTTTCCTTCCCTCATGATTCCTGCTGGGTCCTCTTCACTGAGGCTTTTCCCTGAGTCATATATTTACTGGAAAGGCTACCTAGAGGAGGGGAGGAAACAAAACCCAACATAAATAAAATAAGTCTCACTTCATCAAAAAATCTGTAACATTACTACTTATTGCTAATTATTCACGGAAACTTTTCACACTGGAAATGGTCACTTGTTTTGAATTAAGTAATTAGGCTAGATATAAAGTCTATAGCATATGAAACATGATCTATTAAACATAATCCTAGTCAAAGTCTTTTTAAATGCAGACAAGTCGCTAGAGTGACATCATTTTAATACAGTTTCAGAAATGAGGATTACTAATTAAAACCACACCACAGAACAGTTAATAATATATGCTGTAACCTAAATAATTTGACTTCTGAGCACACACACCCTATAGAATCTCTCACCTACACTCAAGGACATTCACACAAGAATGTGCACAACACTGTTTATAACAGCAAAAAATCATACTCAATTTAATGCTCATGTACTAGGTAATGGATATATATAATATTCTGTATTCATATGATGGAATACTGTAAAAAAAATACCATAAACTTATATACAGCAATATGTTTAAAATACAGCAATATGTTTAAAATTTAAAAATCATTTGTTAAATAGATATGAAAAAGCAGATTGTAGAATATTTTATACAGCACGATGCCATGTAAATTTAAAAATTCACCAAGGGTAATATGTTAAAGGATACATATGTATGAGCTTTCATGAAGAATTGAAGGAGCCCTCAATTCATAATAATGGATGCCTCCAGGATGGAGGGGGACATGACTTAGAGAATGGACCTGGGGATGGTAGTAAAAGGGTACTTTCAGTATTTTAATCTTTTATTTAAAAAAAGATTGGAAATGTGCGCTGGCCAGTGTGGTTAAGTGGTTAGAAAGTTGGCCTGAGCACCTAGGGTCATAGGTTCGATTCCCAGTCAAGGACACGTACTTTGGTTGCAGGTTCAATTCCTGGCAAAAAAAAAAAAGAAAAAAGATGGAGAAAATATCCTTGGGTAAGAATTAATCAAAAAGGATTGGAAATGTGAAAAAAATGATGCTATTTCTCTAGTACAGTGATGGCAAACCTTTTGAGCTCGGCGTGTCAGTATTTTGAAAAACCCTAACTTAACTCTGGTGCCGTGTCACATATAGAAATTTTTTTGATATTTGCAACCATAGTAAAACAAAGATTTATATTTTTGATATTTATTTTATATATTTAAATGCTATTTAACAAAGAAAAATCAACCAAAAAAATGAGTTCGCATGTCAGAGGTTCGCCATCACTGCTCCAGTAGATGGGTAGTTGTTATATTATGTGTATCTTTTTATATTTTCCCCAAAGTGTTAAGAACCATTCTTTTCTAATAGTACTAATAGTTTTATTAATATATTACCTAAACATGTAACTTCCTATATCTATATATATAAAAGCCTAATATGCAAAGTGTCCCCTTGGGAGTTCAACTGACTGAGAGTTAGATTGCTTGCTATGATGGGTGCTGACCACCAGGGGGAAGTGTGGAACCAAGGGAGGCCTCGGCTGGCAGCCGGCAGCCGCTAGGGACCCTACCTGTGCATGAATTTCGTGCACTGGACCTCTAGTATAAACATAAATCTCAGCATACCTGAAGATACTTTAAAATTAATAGAAATAAAATATAAATGAACACCATGAAATTCATAAATTGTGTAAGCATGACTTGAAACTACCCGAAAGTTGGCTTGAGATCAAACTACTAAAATAAACAAACAAGCCAACAAATGTCTGGATGGCATAACAAATCATAAATGAGGCTGAAAGAATAATAAACCGGGGGTGGAGGTGATGAAGGATGTTGTAACACATTTGACAAAGCATGAATGCATTTCTATGTAGAAAGAACTAAAAACAAAGATGACTACTGTAATAAAAAGTGCAAAGATATAACATGAAGAAATACAAATGAAAACATGTACAAAAATGTTGAGTTCAATGGTATAATAGAAATTCAAGCAGATTGACAAAAAAGTATCTCAATGAAGTGAGGGTGTGGGAGACAGGTTGTAAATGACTCTCTGGGATTGCCAATCATAAATTGGCATTACTGGTACCACTGTTGAAAGGTACATACTTCTCAACCCATCATTCTAACTGGGAATTTGTCCTGTGGATATATACCCAGACAAATATCCTTTATAGGGTTTTATATACATAGTGATCTTCAAACTTGGGTATATGTATTTCTGAGCTGACTTAACAAGACAAGTGGGGAAGGGGTGTTAAGAGAATTGCTTGCAGCCTCTCAATTTCTATCTGAATCTTCCTGAGAATGCCTTCATGACCAAGGCTTTGGGCAGGTTCTTAGAAATCACACCAATTTTCCTTTCCAACTTCCCTTTCACAATTCTCCTACTTTCACTATAATATAAAACCATCCAAATCTTAATGTGGTATGATGCCCTGGAGTGGGAAAACCTGGAGGTAGGGAGGTGAAGAAAATGATGGTTTGTGATAAATGCGAATGCCTCTAATAAAACCCCAAAGTTTTAGTTTTTTGTAAAGTTACATTAATAGCTGATGATCATCATGAATAATTTCTGATATCACATTACTATGTGATTTTTGGTCATTTAATGAATGATAAATAAAGAGTCATTGTTGTAATACATTTTCCATTCTCAAACTCTTAAAAGAATTTATATTATTTTTAATTTGCTATCATAAAGACTACTAAGTTTTCTCGATATTTACCAACCATAAAAACAAAAAACAAAAATTAGAGATAGTAATGATAAAGAACACTGTTTTCATTCCTGCAATAAGTAGTATTGGTCCATAGATAAATAAATGCACCGGGAAAAATCCCATCTATTCATTAAATGACAGTCATTTTTAGTATGTAAACATAAAAAGTAATTTTAAATCCAAATTTGTAACATTTTCTTTGATCAATCATTGTTCTAATGGTTGTAAAAACAACTTAGAAGAAAATTCTATGCTTTGAGACTTAAGAAAAAGCTTAAAATTCCAATTTACATAAATATTTTTATTTCAGGTAAGTATGATAGGCTGATCAATAAAATGCTTGAACTGTATGATAAAAATATATCAACCTATATAAAAGCCTAATATGCAAATTGTCCCCTCGACTGGGAGTTTGACCAGGGGGGCAGGGCTGGCCAGCCAACCACTTGCGGCCCCTCCCCGAGCCGGCCCAGCCCCCAATGGGCTCCCCTCCCACACCCCCCCCCCGCCCCCGACCATGCACGAATTCGTGCATTGGGCCTCCAGTCTTAATAGAAAATTCTGTGGAAGTGAAACAAAGGTATTCAAGGAAAAAAAGGAAATGATGTAAAGTTTCTGCAATAATATTTATATTTCATTTGATACATACATTTAAGGCTGATTTAAAAGATGTATTTTATGTTAGTATTTATTATCCCCTCCACCCCCAGAAATTACAAAAGCTTTGCAGCTATGATGAAAAACTTAGACATCAACTTAAAAACATAAAGGAGACATATGAACTTTCAAAATTTTGTGAAAGAGTATGTAATCAAATAATGTTTTGAAGACATTGATATATCATATATTTGAAAACAGTCCCTTAATCAGGAATGATTAAAGAAATAATAATATAGTGATATACTGGAATATCAAGAATACCGGATATCAAAAAGGATGATTTACATTCATGAATAGTAAGATCTCCCTATACTGTTTCAAAAAATGTTGGAATGGCTCAGAGGTTGAGTGTCGACCTATGAACCAGGAGGTCATGGTTCGATTCCCAGTCAGGGCACCTGCCTGGGTTGCAGGTTCGATCCCCTGTGTGGGGCGTGCAGGAGGCAGCCCATTAATGATTCTCTCTCATCATTGATGTTTCTGTCTCTCTATGTCCCTCTCCCCTCTTTTCTGAAATCAATAAATATATATTAAAAAGAAAAAAGTTATATAAGTACACATCATCATGAGGGAGAAAAGATACCCATTAATCTATTTACAGCATCTTTAATTTTTAAGATTTCAAACCATGGGATTAAAGTGGAATACATGAAGAAACAGTTCCTTTAGAAAAGTAATTTCCTTTAAAAAATGGGGGAGGATTAAGGATCAGAAATATATTAGGTTCTTGAGATTCACAGACTGAATAAACTGTTATATGTAATTATGTCAGAGTAATTAACTTATGCAAAAAAGTCAGTTTATAACCACGATTCTCTAATCTCCAAATACTCTTATTAAGAAATTTGTCCTGTAAGATAAATTACAGCAAGGTTGGTACTTCCTGTTAATTACAGTAATAAGAACAGTGATAATTTATTGAGTGGTATGTGCCCGATACTGTGCTATGGGCTTTACATATATGGAATTAATCCTTATTGCCCTGTAAGGTGCTAGTTCCAATTAATTGATAAGGAAACTGAGGCAGAGAGAGGTTCAAAACTTGCTGAGGTGACACAGCCAGTAAATAGTTGGGCTGGATTTCAAACTCAAGTATGTCTGACTTTAAAAGCTCATGTTCTTAGCCATTCCGAACTCTATTGTTCCTTCAAAGTGAGTATATCTCTAATCAATACAATTTACAGAACATCTAAGGCATTGTGTTGTCTGTGTGTATGCGGGGGAGGGAAATAACAACGAAGAGCAAGGAAATTCATGACATTTTCTATTCAATACTATCTAGTTTAGGAGGTAAGAACTGTATGTAGCCATATGGAAAAGAATGGCCCGGCTGGCGTGGCTCAGTGGTTAAATGTGAACCTATGATCCAGGAGGTCACGATTAGATTCTCGGTCAGGGCACATGCCCGGGTTGCGGGTTTGATCCCCAGTATGGGGTGTGCAGGAGGCAGCCAATCAATGAGTCTCTCTCATCATTGATGTTTTTCTCTTTCTCTCTCCCTCTCCCTTCCTCTCTGAAATCAATAAAAATATATTAAAAAAATAAGAAAAAAAGAATGGAGACAGGTATTAGGAGAGGACAGGGAATGTGGCTGAGTGTTTACTATAATCTGGGTGCATCTTCTCAGCACCCAGCGAGATAAATGGTGCTACTGCAATTTTATACATGAGACATCTGGAACTCAGAGAAGCTAACCTCTTGCCCAAGGTCAACACAGCTAATGTGCTAGAGCAGTGGCTGTCCATCAACAGGCTCTGGTGAGAAGGAAGAGCTTTGGGGAAATTTAACACTACATATAATTGAGACATTTCACATTCATAACAACATATATAATTTGGGTAAGTTTATCATGAATAAGTTTGACAGTCTTAACAGCTGTCATATACTTACTTGAAGAGTTTATTTTTTTTGGAAAGGATAGATTTTAGCTACCTATAACTGTTATTTTTTTTCTGGCATTACATTAATTTTTTTTCTGTAGTAAATTTAAGTTTTACAGTTGCTCAAAAGATTTATAAGTGTCATTTTCTTACTTAGAAGATAATTACAGAAATCCTAACTTATTGCCAATCAGTAATGCCATTTTTATAATGTCTAACATCTGTATTCCTCCAGCACTTAAAAATATTATAATAAAATTCTACTTTCAAGATGTGTAAAGCCTTTAGCAGGAGCAATGTTGACATAGCCCTGCAGAAATACCAATGAATCACCACCCACCACAAACCTCTGCTCTGTTCTTGCTGTCTGCAGGCGCTGCTCTAAGTGCTTTGACATGGATTTCTCAACATCCCTACAAGTCAGGTATTACTCTTATTATCCCTTAGAACAGATAAGAAAACTGAGGCAAGTGGAGGCTAAGGAGGTGTTTCAAGATTACAAAGCTAGAAAATATACCAGGCAATCTGATTGCAGAGCTGATATTCTTAAGACATTTCATCTTTGGCCAAAAGGACATCTAAACTAAGCAAGAATCAGTATTTTTCCTATGTAACATGTTCTGGAAATGTTTGCTCAGGGCTGACCCTTGTAAAAACAACTCTTGGCTTGTTTACATATGCTAACCTTGTGACCCTCAAACCCAGAGGATCTATGAGAAACAACCCCTAACTGTGGTCGAGTCTGTTTCCCACAGGCTTTCATTTGTTGAATCAAAGTTGCTTCCAGGGACAGCCTGTCAACTTCCTTATCCTTCTTTCATGGCTGCTCTCATTGTCAATCAAATCATCTCACAATGGGCTCTATTCTCATTTCACTTCTATTTGATTTTGGGGGTTTTCCCAGTAGTATTTTTTTGGTTATAAGTCCATGCATTCTACGGAGAACAATTACAAAACCTTCCCAGCAAACAGCTGCTCCTGAATTTTCTCACTGAGCCTCCTGTGTCTTTACCTTTCACGCATTCCAGTCCCCTTTTGGGTAAGGGTGGCAATTCTTTGAAGCTTTGTGCTTCTCTTTGAATCATCTGTATGTCAACCTCAGTCCCCATGCTTTTGAAATTTTGATTGTAAAAAGGTCTGACACTATTAAAAAACCCACCACCAGTCAAGTTCACAGATCATAAAAATAAATGCCTATTTCTTTTTAGATTATTTTATATGAGATAATTGACCTTGGCACTTTTCTCCTATTAACATTCAAAGTAGAGACAACCAAACATTCCTCGCTGGAGCTTTCTTAGCCTTCCCAGGTGAGATCACTGTGCCCTGGCACCAGCTGGTGGACCAGGGGAGAGCTCTCTTTACTGCAGGATTTAGGAGGCTGCTGAGGATCTGAGAGTGCTACTTCTCCGTAACTGACATTTATGGGAGATAGCTTAGAGTCCAGCGGTTCTCAACCTGTGGGTCACGACCCCTTTGGCGGTCGAACGACCCTTTCACAGGGGTCGCCTAAAACCATCCTGCAAATCAGATATTTACATTACGATTCATAACAGTAGCAACATTACAGTTATGAAGTAGCAACGGAAATAATTTTATGGTTGGGTCACAACATGAGGCACTGTATTTAAAGGGCCAGAAGGTTGAGAACCACTGGCTTAGACCCTTGACACTCTGTAACTAACACAGGCATTAGCAATAATATGATACGTACAAACTGAGCATACAAAATGTGGGTTGACATGACATACAAAAATGTCAGGTTACATTAATGAAGTTTTAAAATTTCCAAATTTTCTCATAAATTATACAATCAAGTTCAAAAGACTATACATGCTTATATAATTTCCCTCCTTTAAAACGACTTTATTGGACAAGATGAGAGAGGGAGAGAGGAGGAAAGGGGAGCGGTGAAAGACTGACAGGCATTTTTAAGCAAAGTTACTAAGGATATCAACAGGCCAGAAGTCAGAATGTTTGCATCAAATTTATAGTTTCATCCTTTTGTACTAAAAAAGCTGAAAAAACTAGTATGTTAAAGTTACTTTATTTTTCTTTTCTGCTTCAATTTCCTCCCTTCTGTTTCAAGACTCAAAAGCACTATTGAAACTCCAGGAAAAGGCCTGCAGAGCCTTCCAGCGTCCCCTCCCTTTCAGCACCTGTCCACAGACCCGGGGACCTGACACTTTGTGCCCACAGCTGAAGTCACGTTGCCTACAATTCCTCTCCCAGCATTTCTCACCAGAACTCCTGGTAATCAGGTTTTTCTCCCTTGCATGCCAAAGAAACAGCTCTTTTCAAAGTCACCAGTGACTTCTGCATTGCCAAGTCCAGGGCTTAATTCTCAGTCTATAGCTGCAGCAGACCTATGAGCAGCAACTCACACAATTCCCTTCTCTTTGAGGAACTTCCTCCATTTGAATTCCAGGACCCAGCTCGCTCTCTCTCTCTCTCTCTCTCCTCTCTCTCTCAAAAAATATATTTTATTGATTTTTTACAGAGAGGAAGGGAGAGGGATAGAGAGTTAGAAACATCGATGAGAGAGAAATATCAGCTGCCTCCTGCACACCCCCTACTGGGGATGTGCCCGAAACCAAGGTATATGCCCTTGACCGGAACCAAACCTGGGACCCTTCAGTCCGCAGGCCGATGCTCTATCCACTGAGCCAAACCGGTTTAGGGCAGGACCCAGCTCTATTGCTGCTTCTGCTCTCTCATTGACCATTTTTTCTGTCTCCTTTATTTTCCACCTGAGCATCTAAATGCTTTTCTTTTCTATCTGCATTTACTTTCTAGGTGATCTCACTCAGACCCAGGCCTAAGTACAATTACACTGATATTAAAATTTATATCAACAATTACACTGATATTAAAATTTATATCTCCTGCTCTAAAGGCCAGGATGTATATCCAATTGGCTACTCGGCATCTCTACCTAGATATCTAGTCAGTTTCTTAAACTTAGGTTTCTAAAACTAAACTCTCTTTCTCCCCCCAATATGCTCTCCAAGCAGAGAAAATTCAACCTCTATTCTTCTGGTTGCTCAGGCCAAATATCATAGTGGCATCTTTGATTTATACTTTGTTATCCAACCCTCAAAAATTATGTTTGAAGATGCCACCTTCAAAATACAGTAAAAGTCCTCACTTAATGTCATCGATAGGTGCTACATGATCCAGACCCATCTACCCTGACCTCACCTCTTACCACCCTTTCCTGCTTATTCCACTCAGTGACCCAGGAGGACAAAAACTGTTTTTGGTTCTGCTGTAACAGTCGAACTCCAATTTCCCACTGACTTGCCCCTTCCTTGATTCTTTGCTTAAATTTAAAAGTTACTTTATGAGAAAGGCCACCTCCCTCTCCAACATTCTGTTTCCCTTTTCCTGCTTTATATTTCTTAGCACCTGTCACCACATGAAATGTTTATGTATCTCCTCTGACTAGAATGAGAGAAGGGGCTATGCTGTATCCTCAGTGGGTGGGTGTTGGCCTTAAATATTTGCTGAAGGAATGAATAAATGACTTAGTGAGAGAGAGAGAGTGGAGTTCAGACCAATAATTACTTTCTTTCCTTACTTTGGTGCAGTGAATAATCTCCATGAAGAGATTACGCTGTTGACAACACAGTGGCAATTTCAAAGCAGAAACAAAAAGCATGGAAGAGGAACAAATAATTCAAGACTATGGTTCCTTCTCAGGGATGGTATAAGAATCACCTATAAAATTAAAAAAATACACAGGCCCAAGCCTAATCCTTGAAGAATCTGATTTAGGAGATGAAGGAGGGGCAGGGTAACTGTATTTTTAAAAGTTCCCCAAGTGATTCTGATGTCCAATCCCTGTTAAAACCACTTATTCAAAAGAAGTGTCTCAAAAGGCATGTGGTAACTATGCAGTAAGTAAAAGAACACACATTTGTTGTTTTCAACCCACATACCTGACTGGGGACTCAAAAATATAGTTGCTTTTTGTTTCTTTTTGTCTTCATGTAAAAGCACTGCCTAAAAAATGAAATACACTGGTTTACAAAATTGAAAGGAATAGCATCTGAAAGAGCTTTAAAACTGTAACCATATCCAACGAGAGCTGAAATTAGGCATGTGGGTGGCAGAATTTTGCAAGTTACTGAAAAGCAAGACACATATGCAGGGATCCTTAAAGCACGCCCTGCCATCCCGGGCACAGCAAGCCTCCTCACCACACTGTGCTGAGGGCAGAGGGAGGGAGCCGGGGGGTTAGCCAGAAGGAAGGAGTGAGGGCCAGGGCCTGCCCAGCACCTCGAGGACCCGGCACACCTTGAGGACCTGGCACAGAGCTGCTAGCACCCAGTAAAGGTTTGCTGACTAGACAGATGCTGGAAGGCCTTCTTGCTTAGGTTTGAGCTAGGTTTACCTGAACAAATGTTTCAGTTGGTCTCAAAGTACTAGGTGAAGAAGGGGATCCACATACCCAATGTGATTTAAACATACCTAAGAAAGAAATCGGCACTTTTTGTTCCTACTTTAAATTGAAAGCAGTAGCCCTGTTTTCAAACTTGCACAGAAAGCTTGTCTGCTGATATGACAGAAGCTCTACTGAATATATTGCGTGGACAAAATAATAATGTATTTGCAGAAATGAGAGGGAGCAGCAGAACTCTTAGATAGGAAGCAGCAGCTAATTATTTTTCATTGCAACTGGAAAAAATTCACCACACTCCAGCCCACTCTTCCCTTCTTATTTTAATTTTATAATATGACTACTTGACTTAAACTGTACATACTGCATTCTGAAGTAACCAAGACCAATGCTTCTGCTTTGGTTGGATTATACCGCGCCCCCCCCCCCCCCCATGTCCCCTTCCCCTCTGATCTGCTGCTGTCACAGCCTGACAGAATCACTGCTCTAATTGTTTTGAGAGCTTCACTATTAGACAACTTAAAACTTGCTTCTAGCTAAAAAGAAGCAATCCATCCATGCTGGGGACCGCAGGGGCATTCCTTCACCACTCCGTTGTACCAAAAAGGAACACAATGACAATGTGCTTCAGCTATTAGTAACACAGACCTTGAGTTCCTCTGAATGGTGGCCTACAAAAATAACTGTGGTAAAACTTTATTACATCTCATCTACACTGTTTACAGTTTCCTCATCTGTAAACTGGGGATATCAATAATACTACATTTGATGGGGTTGTGGTGAAAATTACATGAACTTACCCATGTAGTTAAAATAGTGCCTGGTCTATATTAAGCACTCAGTGAATGTCAGTTATTGCTATTATTTTGAATTCTCATAATTATATTTATCTCATATAAAAGAAAATCATGTTATTCTGGCATTTGTCCCACATTAGGGCAAAAAAGCTTGAGTTTGAGTTCTTTAGAAGTAGGGCAAGGTGTATCTTTCATAAATGTTTTAAGTCCTATTTTAAAATCAATAATTAATTTAAAAATATACTCCTTTGCATATAAAGCTTCTTTTTGGAAAAAGAAAGTACAGGTGATCTATAAGTTTCTTGTTTTAAAAAGAAAGAGACAAAAAAGAAAGAGACACCATATTGCTGATTTAATGAACTGGGGAAGAGGTTATTAGTGTTCCAGGAACAATAAACACTGGAATGAACACCTTAAGGAAACTATCAGCAGTGCTAACTTTTGTATGCTGTTCACAAACATATACAGTTGAGGACAGAAATAGGGTTACTATTTTAATAAAAAAAATTATGTCTTAGAGTCTCTTTTCTAAACTAACCATATTTCATCCACATTCACAGATTTGTTCTAAAAAAAGTGAAAGTGTATAAACTGCTTATATATATATACAAAGGCACCCTTACTCTTACTAGTCTGTCAAAAAGGTACCTTAAATATTTGAGCCATTTAAGATAATGTGTCAATTCAGATCCAACAACTTAAAGAGGCAAGATAATGGATGATTTTGAACTACTGACTTATGTTTTTCCTCATCATAATCATACTTATTGCAGAAAAATATTTCAATGATAAAATCCAAAGACAAATGCCTCCTTAATTCTCCTCTGCAGTTAGAACCACTATTAACTGTATAACCTATTTCCTTATAGTCCCTTTTCCACGCATGTGCATGTTATGTATTTAAATAGAAATACATGTGGCCCAGTGAACACACAGTTTGGCATCCTCCATGGCTGGGCAGTGCTTCAACTTCAAAAGTGCCCACACTGAGTAGCGAAGCTCAAGTTACAGTTTGTCTTATGGTCACTTAGGCTACATTTTTTAGGTACTGGGAATGACCAGGTTTTCATTTTATTGATAATCTTATTTAAAAAGTCAACCAAATTACTTTCATAAGCTTCTAAATAAAACAAGGAATTAAGTGTTTAAGACTTACATGAGATAAGAATTAAAGGAGGAGAGGGAATCTCACTTTCTTAAAAAAAAAAAAATCTTTTTGAGTCATTAGATTTGTTAAAGAAATAAATAGTACAGAACTCTAAAAAGATTTCCCTTGAGATGTGATTGGGAACATCAAAGTGTGACTGGTGTGCATACCTGGAGAGCCTTTGAACTGTGGGCATTCCTTTTTAATGTGCCCCTCTCGTCCACAAATAAAACAACGTTTTTCTCTCAAGTCTTTGTCATCCTGTCTCTTCCACTTTTCCGCCGACGGCCTGAGCATCTTCTCTCTCCCCAGATCGACAACTGCCTTCACCGGCTTGGCTTTCTGAGGCGTGTACTGCACGGGCTTCTCCTCTTTTGAGGACACCTCCCTCTCTGCACACTTGTTTTGAACTTCTTTGTCATCTTTGCTTCTTTTGTCCTTGTTCTCAGGGTATCTTTGGTTTGGGGTATCTTCCTGATCTCGCCGTCGCCTCACTCTGTAGAAAATGATATAATACTGGTAGGAAAAAAATCCAAACAGAATTCTAACAAAATAAGACAATTCCAGGTTTAGAAAATAATGAGAAACAGAAGGCATTAAAGGGCAACCCCAGAATTTAACAAACTTAAATCTATTTTTTTCTACTAAGAAGCAACCTCAGGGCTTAAGGGTGTTTTCCCTTTTTATTTTCACAATTTCTCCAGTGCTCTAAAACCAATTAGTGGAACTCCTTGATATTGATGTAATGAAACTTGTCCTTGGGGTGATTTTTTTAGAACCTTTCTGGCCTGCTTAGCATTCTTTACTAGACACTGGAAATTTGAGATGTGAAACTTTAAATACATTCATTCACATGCCTAGACAAGGGACCAGAAGGAAATAGGTTCACAAGCAAGTGATGGTTGTAAGGAGATCTGGGTCTTAAAATATTAAAATCATTTTTTTCTTGCCCATGACCAGTGACTATATTACTTGAGTAAAAAACAAATATGTACTAAATAAGAGCCTTAAATTTCAGATGATGACTTGTTTTATTTTTGTTGTTGTTGTTTGTTTTTGGTTAATCCTTACCCAAATATATTTTCCCATTGATTTTTAGAGAGTGGAAAGTGGGAGGAGAGAGAAACATCAATGTGAGAGAGACACATTATTGGTTGCCGCCCATATGTGTCCTGACAAGGGCCAAGGATCCAACCTGCTACCCAGGTACATGACTTTGACTGGGTATCAAACCCATGACCCTTTGGTCCCAGGGCCGATGCTCTAAGCACTGAGTAACACCAGCCAGGGAGATGATAACCTGTTTTTAAATGAGCATATTATCATCCAAGTAAAAGCACCACTACCACCCCAAACAATATGTTCAAAGTGAGCATCCAAAACCATGTCCCTCTGTCCTCCTGCAAACAGCAGAAAGCATGGTCACCAAGCTGAGTAGGTCACCATAGCAATATTAAGGTGTACAAGTAAAACTGTGTACAAGTGAAAGGGTCTTATAGTCCGAGACATTGTCAGTGAGTCCCAATCCCAACATGGCACGCCTGTTATTGTACATTAGAAGTGTAATTGACATCCTGAAGGAACCAATTTTACTTTTCATTGACTGAAATGATTCTGAAGTTCTCACTGCTGTAAAGGAAGAATTTTAGTTTCCTCTTTTCTCTTCCATCCCAACTGGAGAGGCCGATAACCAGATGATTGAGTAATGATTAGGGCCATGACCAATATTAGGAAAAGGGACCAGGCCTGAGAGACTGTCGCCGTTACACTGGAGTCAATTCTCATTATCTGTATGTAAGGCCATATTTTAAATCACCTAATTTTCATTAAAAAAACCTTAAATTTACCTGAGAACTGCTGAATTTCCTAAAAGTTTATTTTCTGTTACAATAGAACCTCATTTAAAAACTGGTACATTAAGAGCATAAAATCAAAACCACCACTTTTGAACATTTACTTACTTTCTCCTCAAAGGGCAGTCCTTCATGAAGTGTCCAATTTTCCCACAAATTCGGCAACATCTATCATTTGGGGCCAACTGTCCTTCAGTTAGCACATCTGGATCAAAAAAGTACTCCTAGAAAAACATAAATATATACAAATATGAAGTATTACTATGAGATCAAAACACAAAAACTAACCCGACAGCAATCAGGTATCTTATATCTCAACATCAACATTACCATTAACTTAATACCTATTATTTATACTGGTTAATTTCAAATCTAAAACCATTATGAGGTCTAAATCAGGATTTTACCTAAACTCCAATTTTATGTAGTCCTTTTCATCACACAGCACTCTGTTTATCCTTAACCACAAAGGTAGCTTTTCCCCAGCACTTCTAAATATAAGAGCATCACATAGCCCAGAAGTCAGCTGCCCCAGGACTTGGAGGGAGCTGAGTCCAGGTACAAAAGTTTCCTTGCTCTAAAAAAAGAGAAAAGCTAACACCTAATGAATTGAGGAACATGATTTGCATATACAGATTACAGAGAAAAATAAAGAGGCTATGTGCTGTTGCTTTATTTCATTGTGGTTTCTGAAGGGAAATATCAGAAGAAAGGAAAGACAATGGTCTGGACTCTAGCCCCTTTACCACTGAAATGAAGGTGGGGGACCAGCAGCATCAGCATCACCTGGGAGCTTGTAAGAAATGCAAAGTCCTCCTGAGTCAGAATCTGCATTTAACAAAATCCCCAGGTGATATGTTTGGACAAGTTTCAGAAGCACTGACAGACTACCACAGCAATATCTACAACTAGACGTTCACATGTAATCAAATGCTGAATATTGCTACACACAAAACAGTTAAGGTTCATTAAAAGTATATTCAGAAGACTAATGCAGAAAAAGAATAACTTTATTTTAAACATAAAACCCTCTAGCTCTGCTCTAGCTGGTGTGGCTCAGTTGGTTGGAGCATCGTCCCATGCACTGAAGGGTTGACAGTTCAATTCCTGGTCAGGGCACATACCTGGGTTTCAGGTTCGATACTCAGACAGGAGGCAACCAATAGATGTTTTTCTCATACATCAATGTTTCTCTCTCTCTCCCCCTTGTCCCTCCCCCCCCCCTCAAATCAGTAAAATATATCCTTGGGTGAGGATAATAATAATAACTGAAATACGTTATGTTTATAATGCAATTTTGTTTTTAATGAGTGCGGCTCAATAGAAACCTGAGCATTAGTTTATATGAGAACAGACAGTTCTAGTACAGGCAGCACCGTCCCATTAAGGGATTTATTACTCTTTGCAAGTACAGTAATAAACAAACAAAGGAAAGTCTAGACTTCATATGGATGCCCTTAGGCATGTGCAAATGGCTTGGCTGAGGCTGGCATGGAGCTCAATGCTGGTGGTGCAGCAATGCCACCTATATGTCTTACCAAGGAAAAGCAGCAGCACCAAAATTATAAATCTTCCCACCCAAACTACACCCAAACTACACCTCTGGCTATTTTTCCCCATTCTCCTGATGAATTGTCTCAGAGCAGGGATTTTTTAAAAAAATGTATTTATTGTCTAAAGTTTTACATATGTCTCCCTTTTCTCCAACTGACCCCCCCTTCCCCACCCCACCATTCCCACCTCAGGCAAGCCCCCAAAAGCAGGGATGTTTTAGAAAGGGTTTTTAGGGATTTGTGTTGTAATTGTTCATCTTGGTGGCTAGACTCACCAGATATTCAGAATATTTAAGTTATTACTGAAGTAATGTGTACAAATTAAATGCTTTCAGAATTGTTTTTATTTTTTTTTATATTTTATTGATTTTTTACAGAGAGGAAGGGAGAGAGATAGAGAGTTAGAAACATCGATGAGAGAGAAACATCGATCAGCTGCCTCCTGCACATCTCCTACTGGGGATGTGCCCGCAACCCAGGTACATGCCCTTGACCGGAATCGAACCTGGGACCTTTCAGTCCGCAGGCCGACGCTCTATCCACTGAGCCAAACCGGTTTCGGCTGTTTTTATTTTTTTTTTATGTCCAACAGATGCTTACCATTTTTGAGGGGTAGTCCTTTGGAAATCCTTTGACTGGAATACCAAATACTCTTCTACCATTAATAAATGCTTTCATTATAAAATTGGTCACTAAAAAGAAAAGAAAAAGAGCTCAAGTAGGTGAATTAAAAAGAGATCACATGAATATTTATAAACAAAGTTAACTTACTTTTCCTTGATAATCCAGCTCCAAGATTATGATTCAAATCAAAGGGATCTAAGTAAAAAAAATGAGAATAAGATAATCAAATGGAAAATGCCACTATTCATACAATAAATGGTTTATATAACAAGTGTTACATAATTTATCATTATTAAAAGTATTAAATAACTACCTTCTTAATGATCTTCAAATTTGTTATATAGTTAAGTAATATATATTCCCAACTACAAGGCAAGTTTTTTTCTCAAAAGTGTCCATCAGAAAAGAGCGTGTTGCTTTATATTTGAATTCTTATAAAATCTTTCACATTATGAAGAGTTGCTTTATTTTGAACAATAAAATACTATTTGGAGAAGATTAACATTAGCCTGACATTATTTAATGCTAGTTTTTGAATGTATATAGAGGTCACAAATATATTTAAAACATTTTAGCACTAAATGTTCCCGCCAATTAATAAGCTTTTTAAAGACCACTTTAGAAAATAATTCATCATGGATATCACAGAATGCACTCAAGTGATAAATTAAAACACACATAGCAATAGCTACTTGGATCTCAATTTCTAGTAAAGGCTTCATATAAGAATTTCCATATGATCTTAAATATTTTCACTCAAACATCTTAGATGAGTGGATATCTGTTGTGTTCTGGAACACTATTTGTTAGATGATCCAGAAAGTGGTAGGAAGGATACAAAAGCTGCTGATGTCAAAGATGTATGTGGGATCTGAATAAACTGGTTCATAAAATAAATGGGGATAAAGCATGCTTTCTAAATCAAAATACTTTATAAATGATTTAAAATAAATTTACACTCATGATAATTCATAAGTGAAACATAATGTGTAGATATTTAATTTAATTATTTCCTGTAAATGCTTAAAAACATATTCAAGAAAGCAAAAAACACAACACAACAAAACAAAAACCATTCCAAAATCTTTGGAGGGGGATCAACCCATTGTGATTTGAATTCCATTTTACATATTTTCACATTATAAGACTATCAATAGGTAGATAAAAGTTTAACCTAGAGCAGCGATTTTCAACCCATTTGTTGCCACATGAATTTTAAAACATGCGATACTTGACGTAGTCAGGGGGACTGACCTCTTTTCCCTTAGACTGTCAAATAAAAATATGACAACAGCCAGCACAATAGCCATTTGATGTGAATGAGTCAAAATTATACCAATTTTTTTTTTTTGCCAAATCGACACAAAAATATATTTTTTGGTGTGCTGCAGAATTTTAGTAATTAGTTTATGTGTGCCATGAGATGAAAAAGGTTGAAAGTTGCTGACCTAGAGTAACACATTATTTAGGTGATATGACTCCTGATAGGTAAAAACCCTCCATTAATAGCAAATAAAGATGTTGAAAATTCACTCTTATTAGGAAGGTTTTAAAAGTCATTTATTTTGAAGCTGGCTTATGTCTACTAAGTGTTCAATGATAATAAAAGATCTGTCATGGTGACCAAAGACATAATGTGAGAGGATCCACATAAAGGCATCCATCATTTAAAAGTAAGTGTTTAGGTGGGAAACAGATGCCTCCACCTGACGCAGGCAGTAACGGAATGGTGCACTGCACACCCTAATCAGTGGCTCCGGGCTGCCCTCCTGGAGAGATGAAGAACAATGCCCTCTTAATTCAAACTCTACATTCTATGCAACTTTAAGTTTTGATCTTATTTGTACCTTCAATAACAATGTATTTTGAGGTCCACTGTTTCTTAAAAGTTGTAAGCAGACTTTTTCTTCTGATGCTAATAACATGTTCTTTAAAATCAAAGTCCTCTGTGTAGAAACGAAGAAGTCCCAACCAGAGCTGCCCAACAGATTCTGTATTACTTCCATATTCTGGCCAATAGGTGGGCTAGAAACAGAAGAAAACAAGGGATATCATGCCCTATAGTAAAGTGTTAATGTCAATATTCACTTATATCTTATGAAGTAAATATGGGCTTATTTCAAATTAACTACAGTTTAAATACACAAAATATGTAATTACATAACTTTTCTTTTACATTTTAAAATAACACCTACCTGAGTTTATTAATCTTCACCCTATGACTTGGGATAGGGAGAGCTCAGGGTTTTTAATGTCAAACCTCAGAATGCATGCTAGTTGAAGAATCTTGAAATAAACTTCAAGAGCCTTGGTGATAATTATAAGTCTTTCCAAGTTATGTACAGAAATTACAGAGCAAATATTCATTTATTTGGAAAAAACTACCAAATTATTTGAAATTATTAGGCATTAAAGAACTTGGATATAGTCCCTAAAAACTCACCTGGCTTAAAAATGTTTTCAACTTCAAAGGAAACATCTGTATATGCTAGTTTTTTTGTTTTTTTTTGTTTGTTTTGTTTATACTATCATAATATAAATAAATATAGCAAATGATAATATAGTTGTTGACCATCTATCTATACTACAGCGTAGTATAGCTAACTTTTAGTCAAGGATGTAAGAAAAAAATCTTTACTATTAAAATACGTACCAGTTCATCTATTTGATCAAAAAAATAAATATTCCAGCCATCAACAAATATTTCAGGTTTCTTTTCACCTTTGTATATCTGCAATTAATTTTTAAACTATTAGTATGGATTACAAACTTAATGCACTGATACAAAACTTTAGAAAAATTGTTAAAATTTTAACTATAGAACCAGAGAATTTTTCAAAAATAGATTTTAATTGATTTCAGAGAGAAAGGGAGAGAGGAAGAGAGAGAGATAGAAACATCAGTGATGACAGGGAATCATTGATTGGCTGCCTCCTGCACGCCACTCCCCCCCCCCCCCCCCCCCGCACTGGGGATTGAGCCCATACCCTGGGCATGTGCCCTGACCGGGAATCAAACCATAACCTCCTGATTCATAGGTTGATGCTCAAGCACTGAGCCATGCTGGCTGGGCCAGAACCACAGAATTTTTGAGAAAAAAGAAGGCTCAAAATATCACCCAGTTTTACAGATAAGAAATAGAATTTACTTTATTAATACCTCTTGAAGGACAGGAATGACTGGTGGTTTCCTCTGCTGGAGAAAATATAGCACCATAAGTGTGTATGCATATGATGATAAGCTGCCTCTGGATGCATCACCAATATCACACATCTGGAGGGAAGGAAAATGAAGATCACAAAGGAAAGATTACCAATGTTTTCTGCTTGCAGCTATTCTATTATCACTAAAAGTAAGTGCTTCTACAGGGCATTAATATAAAAATTACATTTTCAAATGCTAAAATACGCCAACAAAACCAAATAAGAAAAAAAACAAAACCCCAAATAAAACAAAGAACCCAACAAAGCAGTGGAACAATCAGTCACAGCAAGATCAGATAATCATGTAAAATTTAAGACAAAATTTTAGCTTGCTGAGTAGGGCTTCCCAAATAGTTAAAAGAAGCTTTTGACATGGCTAGTCTTAAAAAAAAAAAAAAAAAGACATGTTTTCAACAAGGTCTGAAGATGCAATAAAGTTTCCTAATAAGGTACAACTGAAAGCATACTCACCTTTGTAAAAACTTTCATGGTATAGCATAAATATTTCACTCTGGGATCAATGGCTGAATAAGCAAATAAAAGCCTTGTGTTATGAAGGGCCTGTTAAAAAGGAAATTATACTATAAGGCTATCATTTAGAAGAAAAAGTTTTAAGCTAGAATATTCTGAAAAGATTTACACTGTAATTCATTTTAGAATAAACACACTTAGACTAAAACGAATATTTCTTACCCCCAAATAAGCTTCAGTAACTTAAGAGATAATAATTAAGAATTGTAAATGAGCCCTAACCGGTTTGGCTCAGTGGATAGAGCGTTGGCCTGCGGACTGAAGGGTCCCAGGTTCGATTCTGGTCAAGGGCATGTACCTTGGTTGCGGGCACATCCCCAGCAGGGGGCGTGCAGGAGGCAGCTGTTCGATGTTTTTATCTCATCGATGTTTCTAACTCTCTATCCCTCTCCCTTCTTCTCTGTAAAATCAATAAAACATATTTAAAAAAAAAAAGAATTGTAAATGACATTTGATTTCATGATTTCCATTATGTTAATAATAGAAGACCCAGTGTGCACTGGTGGGGTCCCTTAGCCTAGCCTACACCCTCTTACAATCTGGGGCCCCTCGGGGATGTCGGACTGCCGGTTGCCGGGATCAGGTCAAAATCCCCCAAGGGATGTAGTAGTGCCTGAAGTGGCAAGCAGCTGGGGAGGAGCCTGAGCCTGGGCAGGGCGCCGCACTGCTCCCGCTCATCATGGCCAAGCTGCACCTGCCGCTGCTTGGTAGCGCTGCCATGGAGATGGGAGAAGATCATGCTGCCGAAGCTGTGCTTGCCAGCCATGAGCCCGGTGTCTGGCACCCGTTGGTCAGCTGAGCGGTGCTTCCGCTGTGGGAGTGCAATGACTACCAGGGGGCAGCTCCTGCGTTGAGCATCTGCCCCCTTTTGGTCAGTGCGCGTCATAACAACTGGTCAAACAGTCGACCAGTTGCTTAGGGTTTTATATATATATTCATAGATGTCCTTAGTGTTAACATTCCTAAAAAATAAGGGGTATTAAAATAATCAGTTTCCTGAATATAATGAACAACCTAAACTGATCAACAAAAATAGATCCAGAGATGTAGAAACATTGAACAGACCAGTCAAAGCTCAGAGGGAAGGTGTGTGTGTGTGTGTGTGTGTGCGCGTGTGTGTGTGTGTAAGAGATCAACCAAAGGACTTGTATGCATGCATATAAGCATAACCAATGGACACAGACAGTAGGGGAGGGGGTGAGGTCATGTGCTAGGGAGTGGGAGCAGCCGGGGAGAGGTCAATGGGGGAAAAATGGAGACATATGTAATATTTTCAACAATAAAGAATTTAAGTAAAATTAAAAAAAATCAGTTTCCTGTAAGTAGATGGATGATTCCCCCAACCTGCCCTGGCATTGCCCTTAGGGGCCAGAGAGGTGCTATAAAGCCCTGAAACAAACCAAGTGTGAAACAGATATACACACACACACACACACACACACACACACTCTCCAAAATTAAAAAAGTTCAAGCCAAACAAAAGCGCCTGCCACTCTGACCTAATTTCAAATGAATATTAATATTAACTTAATTCTCTGTTATATCCCCAGCCTCACATCACTGCCAGGCACAGAGCAAGCACTAATAACTACTGAAAGAATGAATGCATTGGAATGAATGGCTTAAGAGACATTTGTTTCCCTTAATCTCCCTAGAGAAGCCGCTATATCTTACCAATGTGTTATACAAACTGATGTCCACTTCCAGACCACTTCTCAAATGGTAGAACTTTACAATTGGCACCTTTGCTGTTGTAATAGGCAAGATGTTTCTCAGACCTAGGTTGAAACAAGAGAGTGTCATTAAATACAGCTGAGCACAGAAGCTCTTATGTGAATACCAGAGGCCCGGTGCATGGATTTGTGCACTGGTGGGGTCCCTCAGCCTGACCTGCTCCCTTTTGCAATCCAGGACTTCTTGGGGGATGTCAGACCTACCTACGGGGCCTATGGGGATCAGGCCGAAACTGGCAGTCTGACATCCCCCAAGGGATGTAGCAGTGTGTGAAGCAAGTTGGCTGGGGAGGAGCCTGAGCTGGGGCTGGGCAATGCTCCCGTTCATTCCAGCCCTGCTGCACCTGCCAATGGCTGGGTGGGAAGCACTGCCACGGAGGTGGGAGAGGCACCCACCGCCACATCTGCGCTCGCCAGCCATGAGCCCGGCTTCTGGCTGAGCGATGCTCCCGCTGTGGGAGCACACTGACCTGAGTTGAACGTATGCCCCCCAGGCGGTCAGTGCGCGTGATAGCGACTGGTTGCTTAGGCTTTTATTTATAAATATCAATATGGATGTATACTTAACTTTATTGTTATTCCCACTTTATAGATGAGTAACTGAGTGCTAATAACGAGGTTGAGTGACTTTTTGAGATCACATAGCCAGCAAGTGGGGGAGCCAAGATTTAAAACCAAGAGAGTTTGATTCCAGACCCCCCCGCCCCAATTACTCTGCTATACTGCCTCTAAAGTAGACAGCCTTTTCTTCACCTACTTCCCATTCCAGAACTTGACACTGTTAACCTTAATGACACTTATAAGCCCATCCTCTAGGACTTTGAATTCACAGCACATCCTGGTTTTATTCCAATGGCTCCTTTTTCAGTGTCCTTCCTTAATTTCTACACACAGAAATTAAAGTGTAGTCCTCAATTTCTCTCAAACAACAATTACCTTGGCCTCTTTACTTTTCTCTTTCTTCGCTTCTCTACTTCTCTCTCTTTAAGGCTTTCAATGCAAAACTTCTATTTTGTTCTATAATCCTGATTGACAATTCCATATTTTTAGTTTCTTACTAGAGTGCTACCTCTTGGAGATTATACCTTCATGGCAAACTAAACACCTCCACACTGGTGTTCTCTGCAAATATTCCCATTTCCCAAGTACCCAGACATCAGCCCGAACCCTTACTTATTTCCTACTTGTAGGTACCAAATCTAAGAAATTTTCCTTTGAATCTGATCTTCTTTTCCTTTTCGGACCACTTGGACCTGGATAAGGTCTTTCTGCTCTGTCCTTGGGTTATACCCTCCAACAGAGACTATGCTAGTTGCCTAAAAACCTCAAGTTATGCTTTTATTGGGTTCCTCCTCTCCTGAAGAAACTTCAGTGGCTTCTTAATATCTACAGACTTTACCTTATCTCCTAATAGTTTCCACTTGAAACTCCTCTCTAAATGTATCAATCTTCTCACTGTTCTCCAAAATATACTATACTCCATTCTAAGGAAAGACTTCTCTTCCTATTCTTTTCAAATCATATTCATCATCATTTGAGATCAGAACAAGCCCATCTTTTCCATTAATCTCCCCTATGCAACAATTTCCCACTCTCTCCTCAGAAGTTATTTAATACTTATTAATATTAATAAGACACCAATTCTGTAAACATAATATACATAAGCCATGATGCCGTTTTATTGGCATTAGTAAATTCTAACTATGCAAAATACTAATAAAAAGATGAAAATAGCCTTAACTGGTTTAGCACAGTGGATAGAGCATAGATAGGCCTGTGGACTAAAGGGTCCCAGGTTTGATTCTGGTCAAGGGCACATACCTAGGTTGTAGGCTCAATCCCCAGTAGGGGGCGTGCAGGAGATAGCCAATCAATGATTCTCTCTCATCACTGATGTTTCTATCTCTCTCTTCCTCTCCCTTCCTCTCTGATAATAATTAAAAAAAAAAAAAAGGGCCAGTCTTTAAAAAAAGACGAAAATATTTTTAGGACTCTCTTCTTCTCTCTCTCTCTGCCCGCGCCCTCTTCCTTTAGGTGTGTTTCTTTCTTTACTTTTCCTAAGCTCCAACGGCCATTCTTTGCCTCTGTAGCTTATTTCCTGAGCCCATGCAGCCCAGCTAGCTCACTTCCTCCATGGCTCATTTCTACCTCTGATTTTCTAAATAAACTTTTGCTTGTAAATCAATAAATCTATATCTATATTTATATGTAGAAAAAATTTACAGAGATACCTGAATGTTTTTTGAGGACTCTGGCCAATTCTTCAATAGTTCTTATACAGTCCAACCCCTGTAACAAAAATGGCAAAGTACTGAACCAAAAATGGAAGATAGGTTTCTAACCTAGTTATAATTTCTAGTACCTTCAGAATAATGAAATTAATTTCACCTCATTTTTTTCCCCTTTTAGGTGAGCATTAATTAGTATACATAGCAAATATCCTAAAGATACCCCCCTCCCTCCAAATACAGCCTACTTAATTAATTGCTTTTGGAGGCTCAACAGAGGCTGAAATTGGAGCCTCCAAAAAAGTCTCTGAACCAGTGAGGACCTCCATTTTTCCCTCTGGGTAATTATGTCACCAAGAAGTACCCTATGTGCCAGCATAAATAAGAGGGAGCTTCTATGCCCTAATTCATTCTGGGTAGCCCTTCATTATTGTTTCATTAAGAGCTGAATGACTGCTGTGGAGAGTGATTAAGCTCACATTATTTTTCCATAGGACTAGACAAAAATATAATGTACAAAATGAAAGTCATACGGCAAATATGAATATTTCTAATAGATCATACTTAAAAATATTTCGGCTGGCCCTGACTGGTTTGGCTCAGTGGATAGAGTGTCGGCCTGCGGACTGAAGGGTCCCAGGTTTGATTCTGGTCAAGGGCACCAAAAAAAAAAAAAAAAAAATTTCGGCTGACCCTTTCCAACATAGGTCTTTTCGAAGGTTATATATGTCCCACAATACACTGAAATTTTATTTTAGAAATGCCTTCAAAACTAGTTTATAAATCATGTAAAAATTCCATCTTGATGATGTACATTAAGGTCATTCTAGATATCGATCCCAATATTACTTATCTACCTTATTCAGCAAAGTTGGGCCTGATAACTTTGCTATTTTCCCAAATCAGATACATCCTCAAAAGACAGACTTGAAACTAAGAGAAGGCATAAATAGATCTTGGGCAACAGCAGCATCACTCATGTGGATATATAGTATTTGCACTGTTGCTAAAAAAATCTTTTTAAGAGTAGGTATTTGGTACTAATCAGATTTTACACCTTTTCACAGTATTTTTATTTCATCTTCACCAGAGCTGGCAAACCTTTTGTTTTGTGGATCTTATGGTCTGTTGCAACTACTCAGTTCTGCAGTTAGAGTGAAAGTGGCAGTAGAGTATACATAACTGAAGGGGTGTGGCTATGTTCTAATGAAACTGTATTTACAAAACAGGCAGTGGGCAGAATTTAGCCCGTGGACCGCAGTGTTTGCTGACTCCTGACATACATGATCCAGGCTGATATGCGTAACAATCTCCTGAAGCAAAAGGACCAGAATTACCATTTCCATTTTGTAGATTATCAACCAAACACCACATGTATGGGGACTGATAAAACCAAGTTTGTCTTGAATCCAGGTCACTGGACTACAAGTTCAGTACTCTTATCATTATACCACATTACTGCCTGCTAATCTAAGCCTAGCTGCTATGCCAATGGGACACTGGAGACGCTGGCTTGGCTTTCTAGAATCCCCAGAAGTTGTTTTCAAATTCACTTTGTACTCCAAGTTGAAAGTATAAGACTTTCTAACCCTTACATCCACTCTAAACTTCTTACTATATTTGGCCAGACTGTGCCCTGATAAATTTGGAGAACACCAAGCTATACTGTCAAAGTTATCAAATCACACTGCCTTAGCAAATGGAAGTGTATGTGGTCACTGTACCTCAGCAGTTTCAAGTCCATTAATTGTCATACAGACGTCAAGATCACTCTGTTTGAACCCAAATCCATTTTTGGAGGAGCCAAACAAGCTCAATTTAGTTCCTGTTAGGGATATATGAAAAGTAATAATTAACTGATTACATTTACTTTTTGGATCAAAAGGTCCCTCTCACAAATCAAAATATCCAGTTAACTATCTTATATTAATCACCTAATTATGTCCTTATTAATCAGTCATTTATTATATTTTTCTCTCAAACTTTACCTTAAATAAATACAAGTTGTACATGGCATGAAAGATTACCAAGTACCACTTTATTCTTAAATGTAAGGATATTGCCTGGTCAGCGTGGCTCAGTCATTCAGTGTTGACCTATAAACCAGAAGGTCACGGTTCAATTCCCAGTTAGGGCACATACCCAGGTTGCAGGCTCGATCCCCAGTGTGGGGGTATGCAGGAGGCAGCGATCAAGGATTCTCTCTCATCACTGATCTTTCTATCTCTCTCTCCCTCTCCCTTCCCCTCTGAAATCAATAAAATAAAAAAATAAATAAAGAAAAAATGTAAGGACATTTTGAGGAAAATGTGGATCTCCTAAACATATTTAATACTGTAAGCTTACTACTTTCTAAATAAATTGACTTTTTAGAGGTGTGAACTTTGACTCTAAACATAGTCCTCAATGAAATTCACTTCGTGGCATCTGCTAAGAGAAATCCTATATGATAGCTGTCTTCTCTGTTGGGAAGCTAGGACTGAGCCGACCAATGGCCACCCTAGGCATGCCACCCACTGAAGCCCTGTCCCCTTCACTGCAAGATTACGTTCTCTTTCTCAAAATTAACGTGACTGCAACACATGGACGCTTTCTGAAGGAAGCTCACCCTACCCTTCTTTTCTTAAAGGTAAAAAGTTAGTTACCTGGAAACTCCTGTCTTATGAAACTTTCTAGGTTTTGCCGAATATGTTCACGAGCTTGATCTTCTAAAATAGTTGGAGAAAAATCCTCTGTTTTAAATAAAGAGAAACATCAGAAACAAAGATGTTCACATTCTCTGAAAACTATATTTTTAATAAAATGAAACCTAACAGGCTTACAGAAAAAAAACACCCTAAGTTTTGTGTCTTCTCAGTAGAAAGCATGTAAAATAAAGAAGATGCCTTTAAAAAAAGATCTATCACCAAGAACTACTTCTGAAATGGAAAACTAATCTGAGAAGTACTGCCTTTCAGAGACCCAGGGTTCTCCAAAGGGCAGCCTTCAGGAAACTCTTCCAGAGGGTGCACACAAAAGTTTCTGAGCATGTGCATATATACACTGAGTGGCCAGATTATTATGACCACCTGACGTTTGTAGGCAAATTAGCTATAATTTCGTGCTGAAGTTGCTAGAGGGCCAGACCATTATAAATAGGGAGGCAGGTTGTTTACCACGACAGAAGTGATTTTTCCCTAAGGATATGGGTAAACAATGCGATTTAACAGCCTTTGAACGTGGGATGGATATATATATATATACACACACACACTCTGAGTGGCCAGATTATTATGACCACCTGAGGTTTGTAGGCAAATTAGCCGTACACTGCATCGTACGGGAGATGGAAGCCAAAGGCCTGTTCGAACACCTTTGCTGTCTGCAGTTACCAAGATAAAACATCTCCAATTCGCACAAGGATTGGACAGTCGAGCATTGAAAAAAAGTCATGTGGTCCGATGAATCACGTTTCCAGTTGCATCATGCAGATGGGCAGAGTGAGAATTTGGTGGAAACAGCATGAAAGCATGCACCCTACATGCGTGAGAACAACCCTTCAAGCTGGTGGGGTCAGTGTTATGGTTTGGGGCATGTTTTCCTGGCATGATTTAGGCCCTTTAATTCGTGTGGAACAATGTCTGAATAGCACAACATACCTAAGTATCGTTGCTGATCAAGTTCATCCTATCATGTTGATGGCGTATCCCAATGAAGATGGCTTCTTCCAACAAGACAATACGACATGCCACGATGCTCGTATTGTGCAGGAGTGGTTTCAAGAACATGAGGGAGACTTTACCTTGCTTAGGTGGCCCCCACAATCACCAGATCTCAATCCAATTGAGCATTTGTGGGACGGAGTTAAAAGAGCCATCAGGCAGCTGGTTCCACAACCATCAAATCTCACAGAACTGGACAGTGCTATTCATCAGGCATGGTGTCAGATTCCTCGCATCACCTTTCAACATCTCGTGTAGTCAATGCCAAGAAGAATCGCCGCAGTATTGAAGGCAAAAGGTGGCCCAACGAAGAACTGATGGGTGGTCATAATAATCTGGCCACTCAGTGTATATATCCCATGTTCAAAGGCTGTTAAATAGCGTTGTTTACCCATATCTTCAGAAAAAAATCACTTCTACTGTCGTGGTAAACAACCTGCTTCCCTATTTATAATGGTCTGGCCCTCTAGCAACTTCAGCGCGAAATTATAGCTAATTTGCCTACAAACGTCAGGTGGTCATAATAATCTGGCCACTCAGTGTATATATTCAAGGAGGACCTACAATTTCCTTTCATAGGTTATAAACTCCAAAAAGGCTTAAAAAGTAAATCACTTGTTAAGAATGGTCATCTTTTAGCACACAGACACCTCAAGATGTAGCACCGTGATGCTTCCAGTTCTTCTCTAAGTAGCTGCATCCCTTTCCTTTAAAAGATTCTTCTTAGTATAAATTTAAACCTCTGCATACCAGTGCATCCCAAAACCAATGTTTCTTAAAGTGCTGTTATGTAGGCTATTAATTAGTGTTAACCAAAAGTATTCTATGCTCAATTTTGGAAATTGGGATTAAAGAGTTAAATAAATTCTTTACCATAACATTTATCAAAAGCCTTTATTATGCTACTGTGCCCTGTGTTCTTCGAGGGAACAGTAAGTAGAGTTATTCCCTACTTGACCCATAAAATATTTCTTATCACAAAACTAGAGGCCCAGTGCACAAATTTTTGCAGGGGGGTGGGGTGGGGTGGGGTCCCTTGGCCTGGCGATCAGGGTCAATAGGGGCAGATCGGGACAGGCCAGCCACCTGGGGGAAGTGACTGTGTGAGGTTGGCTGTGGCAGCGCACTCACCACTAGGGGGCAGCTCCTGCATTGAGTGTCTGCCCCCTAGTGGTCAGTGGGCATCATAGGACCGTCCGGTCATCCGGCTGTAACAGTCACTTAGGCTTTTATATATATAGATACTATTAACTGTACCTAGAAACACATTTCAAGAAATTCCACTTGAGAAATGATAGTACTCTAATCTAAAGCCTTTAAAGATTCTCCTTCCTGTCTTTAGCAATTATTTACTATGTTTCCCAAATGGAACAGGATACAAAGAACACTGGATACAATGGGGAACAGAACAGATTTAGTTCCTATAAAGAAGTTAGAAGGTTAGTGATTCAAGTGACTCTCGAGAAAACATCAATTTAACAAATCAAAAGAAAAGTTAACAACTTACTATAACACTGGATACAAACTTGATCTAGGATACTTGTAAATTTGGGCGTCAATGGTGGCAAAGGTTCCAGCTGGATTCTTTTGAAGTCTTCAGGGCAGTCCTTCTTTAGATGACCCTCTCGTTTGCATAAACTGCACACTACTGTAGGAGACTGCAGGAGGAAGGCAAAGCAAAACAAGACTTAAGATAAAACTTTATTTGCCAAATAAAGGGGTCGTAAATCTTTTTTTTAAAAAAATATATTTTATTGATTTTTTACAAAGAGGGAGAGGGATAGAGAGTTAGAAACATCGATGAGAGAGAAACATCGATCAGCTAAATCTTTTTTTTTTAAAGTACACAGTCTACTCTTCACATTCCAAAGGAATCCTCCAATATAATAAAAGCCTAATATGCTAAGTGTCTGGTCGTCCATTCAACCAATCAAAGCATAATATGCTAATGATATAGTAAGGCCACTCAATTGCTCGCTATGACGTGCACTGACCACCAGGGGGCAGACGCTCTGACTGGTAGGTTAGCTTGCTGCTGGGGTCCTGCCGACTGGGACTGGGTGAGATGGGCCAGAATGTCCTGGAGCCCTCCTGCGGTCCCTCCCTGGCTGACCAACCTCTTGCATCCCTCCCCGGCCCTGTGCACCTGTGGGGTCCATCAACCTGGCCTGCACCCTCTCACAATCCGGGACCCCTCGGGGAATGTTGGAGAGCCAGTTTCAGCCCTATCCCACAGGCCAGGCTGAGGGACTCCACTGGTGCATGAATTCTTGCACCGGGCCTCTAGTGAAAATATAAAGTGCAGCCATTCCAAGCTATCTGAGATGGGGACACCTGGATGGCATACTCAAGAGGAAAAGGCAGTTATTTTCACTACCAACAGTATTCCTTTTCTCCTGTGCAAATTCCCATAAGACTAAGGAGGGAAGTGGACCAGTACTGGAGTTGTAGACGAACTCATTAACCACTACCAAAATGGGGAGTGCCCTGTTCTAGTACATAAAATTGTAATCACATGCATTACAACTGTTTCAATTCTCCCAGTTCTATGTCTAAGACTGGCACTGATTACCTACCTTGCCTTTGGTGAAGGTGAGCTTACTAAATTCATAGAAGTTAGATGGATCCATGGTTGAATTTTCTTCACATACATTTTCCTCCTTAAGACTGATTTTATTAAGTTCTGTTAGTAGAGCTCCATCCACATCTTTTCCACATTCTTTCGAGTCTTCATACTTAGACTCGCCTACCTCCTCATCCTCTTCAGATAGGGCATCCTCATCCCCTGATCCAGTGTAGGCATTGTCTAACCCATCTTCATTAGCACCATCGTCCTCATCTTCTTTTCGGGTAACGCCCTCCTCCTCCTCTTCATCAGAGTGAATGACTCCTGAGGTCTGACTCCGTCTTAAAGGGGCAAAGTGGCTTAGAGAGTCTTCTAGTTCATCAACATCTAAGTTTTCTTCATCAACATCTACGTCATTATCTAAAGTAGCAAATCCATCGCATTCTTTAGCTGTAGAGCTTTGGAAGCCTTCTACATCCAAAGTGCAATCTGTCTCAGTATTTCCTGTGCTACCAGAGGTGAGAGGCTCTCCACGTTTGCTGCTGCTTAAATCTCGAGCATCAGCAGTCAAAGGATGCTTGCCCTCCCTTCCAATTTTTTCTTTCTCAGTTTTACCTCCAGTTTCTCCATCTCCATGGTGTACATTAACATCCTCATGATTATCACAACTAACTTCTACCTTGATACAACCTGTGTTTCCCAGGTGGACACTGATGTCTGTGCTTCCTGTTCCCTCTGTTGGTGGGCTTCCAAAGCTTTCAGCAGTCTCTTTAAGAGTAACTGGCTGTGCTGTGCAGGTATTTACAGCTGAACTGGGAGCACTGGGACCTTGAGCAACAACTGACTTTTCGAGTTTATCATTTTTTGCTTGTAAATCTGGATCATGCTTTGCTACTTCTTTAGAATGTTCTGAACACGTAACAGTACTCAGAGGCTTCGGAAGGCTAGATTTTGTAATTTTGTGTGGGAGAGCAAAATATTTATATGTTGTTCTTAAACAATGAAGTATGTATTCAAACACAGGTTGACTATTTAGGGTTCTTGCCACATTCCTTTTAACAGAGTAGGGATCTGGAATGAAAAAAAAAATCCATTGCATACATTTGTATTACATGTTTTAAAAATTAGCCTGCTCTAGATAAAAATAGACAACAAATGAACAATTGTAAAATTCAGCATGTATCTTAACTATGCTTTTAAAAACTTAAAGATGGGGAGTAAGAAGATTAGAGTTTAAGAACAAAAAGAAATGTTTTCTTAAATATCTGCTCTATGAAGAGAACCCATTCTGTTCTGAACCAGTACCCCTTCCCTATTTTGTTCTATGACTGTGGGGATAAAAAAGATGTCCTGAGTGTGGCTCTTGTGCCTGGGGAAGTGAGGGCTTTCCACCAGGTTCTGCTAAGTGCTCTGCCTCCCGACTCAGCCAGGCTGTGTGGTTTGTACAGCTTACCTCCACTCTTCTGCCCTGGGAAGCCCCATCACTGAACTGGCTGGGCTGAATTCAGGGGCGAGAGGGAGGCACCAGGAGGAGACACCACTTCTCTCAATCTTTTCTCCTCCCCTAGACTCCAGCAGGTTAGGTAATTGGCCAGAAGAGCCGAGCCAGAGAAACTGCAGGGGAGGGTTTAAAAAGGTGAGATCCCTATGACTGTACAAAGAATTTATGCAAAATGCAAAAAAACCCCTCTTATGCAATATAAAGCTTGAAAAAAATCAAGCAAAAATAACAGAATTCCATTTAGGAGATTCTTTAAATTATTTAAAGGAGGAGAATTAAGATTTCTAGAGAGGTTTCAACCGCCTGACTTTGAAAAGCTGAGAAGAGATAGTCCATTTAATGAAGTCTATGGGGCACATCAGTGTGTCTTTTATTTTATTCATTTTTAATCCTCACCTGAGGATATGTTTTAGAGAGAGGGAGGGAGAAGGGGGAGGAGAGTAGTAAAGGAGGGAGGTAAGGAAAGACAGACAGAGACGGGGAGAGCAAGAGAAAGAGAGAGAGAGAGAAAACCATCAAGGTGAGAGAGAAACATCGATCGGTTGCTTCTGACCAGGGACTGAACCTGCGCCTAGGTATGTGCCCTGACTGGGAATTGAACCTGCAACCTTTTGGTGTATGGGATGACACTCCAACCAACTGAGCCACCTGACCAGGGCCACATCAGTGTGTCTTTTAAACAATGTTTTCAATTAAATGAGCCTCACTAGAAAAAGTGTTTTCATTAATAAGTTCTAAGTGTTACTGCAGATATTCCAAAAATAACTATCTTTTCTATGGTGGGGAATCTAGCAAAGAATGTTATTTTGCATGAGGAAAAGTATTATCCTCAACCTCTATAAAACTAAACAACATCAACAATTCATGAAATAACTCAATTAAAAAATACAGAAATGAGGACATTAAAAGAAGAAAGGGGATTCATACATCACTGGGAGAAAACTTTTTAAGGGCTCAAGTTTTTAAGCAATTTACAAAGAAAACAAGGACTCAGCCAGCCATTATTTAGTTGCTTAAGTGATTAAGATGCGCTTATTGCTGCACTCAAGAAATACACTTCAAAACAAAGTTTGGTTACTTGTAATGACCACTGTAATGCATGCAAGATCCTATCTATTTCACTTTTGGGGTCAGGCCTACCTTACATGTAGAAACTGAAAAGAGACTGAAATAAAAAGCATGCTGTTAGACAGGTACCTTAAAAAATAAAAAAGGAATTAAAGATAAACATTTTGGGATACCTTCGATGGCAATGCGCTTTTTGGGCCAATCCTTTGACTCACGAGATATCATTTCTTTCACTCGGATACTTATCACTAAATCAGCCAAATTAAATTCTAAAGCATAGAATCGAAGCAATTCCACCCAGAGCTGCCCAACTGGCACTGAAGGCTGGTGTTTTAAATCAAATATTAATGATACCTATTAATCGCAAAGAGAAAACACAGGTATTTCAGATGTCAGCACAATTTGAAAAATTAGCATTCAAAAGCATGAAATTTTTAAAAATCTTAAAAACCTTAGCAAAGATATGAATTTGACAACCATTTAGATAAATCGCATTCTAGTTTTAATTTTGCTTGTAGAAAAAGAGCATTCTTTCACTACACTGCTGGGATTAGAGTATTTTAAAACTTTGTCATCATCATAGGAATAGACAGACAGTTGTATGTAATCAGACAGTACTCCTAGTTTTGAAGTTCTAGTGACTGGTGGAGAGAACTGTGCATCTATTTCATTGAGCTCTCCCTGTTTCTGCTGCTGGAGGACACCTTTACAATGTTACACACAGAAATGGGTGGCAGCTAAAAGCATAGAGCAAAAGGAAAAATGCTCCTCTCATTTGCTCTGAGAAGCTACTTAAGCTCACTGAATGTGCCAGTGATCTTAAATTAATTTGAAAGTCAAATAACTCTCTATGTCAGATATTACTGCTAGTTTTACATTCACAGACTCTTGACAAGTTGGAACACACTGTAATTAATTGGAAAGCACACAGGACTTAGAATAGGAAAAAAGCACGTGTCCAATACACATTCTGCCACTTCATAGTTAACTGCTCTGTGACTTAGCTTCTTCCTTCTCATTTGGCAGTATAGCACAGTGGCTAAGAGAACTGGCTTTGGAATGAGACATGCTTGGGTTTGAAATCCCGTTCCGCCATGTACTAGCTGTGTATGATCCTAGTCAAGGTATATAAGCTGTCTAAGCCTCAGTTTCCTCATGTGAACAATGGGGATCACAGTACCCACCTCATAGGGTTGTTGGGAGGATTGAGTGAGAGAGTGTCTGAAAAGAGCTTAGCACAGTGCCTGGCACACATGTTCAAAAAATGGTCGCTATCATTATCTGCAGAGTAGGGATGATACCACCTATAACACAGGATAGTTATGAGGATTAAATCAGAAACAAGGGAAAGCAGACGTGGTTGCTCTCTGTATTTTTTCACTTAGATAAAATCTTTAAGTACAAGAAATCCATTTATCACTGAAACATAGTCACAACTGTAAGATGCTGTTAAGAAGTAATCTAGTTCAACTCCCGTATGTTACAAGAGAAGAAACTGAAGCCAGAGAGTTTATGTGACTTGTCAAAGGTCCCACTGCTTGTCAGCGGCAGAATGAGAACAGTCTCCCATCCCAGTACAGTGCTATTTCAATCACACCAAGCAATTTCGACAGTTTAGATATCCCTTTCAGAAGTGGCAGCATGATTACTCTCTCCAAATAGCATAAAAATGTAAAGACATAGTCTTTAATTGGACTTATAGTAATAGCTTTTCCTTCTAAGGTATAAATTTGTTCCTGATTGCATTTATTATATCAAGCTTCAAAACAAGTGGTAGAGTATTTTAATAACTACTACATCTCAACCACGCAGAATCTATCTAATAAGACAAAGTCATCAGGTGGATTTACAAAGCAGACCTGGTTGAAAAAGGAAGTTGTCTAGGTCCCAAACTCTATACAGTTGAGGACACAAAGAAAACCCCCAGAAATTGAAAGCCTTATTAAACTTCACCTCTTCATCCATAGGATTTTTAAGCATCTCATTGAAATGACTTGGTAATACTGTACTATGGAACTTAGAGACCTTTCATATATCTAAACTAGTGGTACTTAAGCGATTTTTTTTGGTTATTGTCATTGTTTTTTTAAAGTAGAGAACACTTTCTTTTTTGGCACTGAGTTAAGCATTCTATAAATCAATGACCCTATGAGAGGGTACCAATATCATCCCCATTTATAGGTGAGGAAACTGGGGCCCACAGAAAGATTACGTCACTTGCTCAAGGACACACAAGCTAGGAAGTGGGAGAGCTGGGATACAAATACACATATTCTGGCTCCACAGCCTGTGCTCTTATCCACTACTGGAACCATAAATAGGACACAGATAAAAGTGTTGCTGTGCTGGTGACAGCAGAGGAAGACAGGTTCCCTCTCCCCTTCCCCCTCCAGGATTATAGAAAGCAAACTGGAGTATCTATGATTCACCACTACTTCCTCTTTGTAGGCTTGGACTAGAAGAGTGATATGACCTATTGGTGTAAAGCTGGGATTAAAATCCTGGTCTCAGAAGTAATTTGCGGATATTATTATCATGTCACCCCCAAGGGTTATAAGGTTGTGGGGTCTGCCCCAATTTGGGGCAAAATCCTATTCTTTTTTTTTTTTAAGTATATTTTTATTGATTTCAGAGAGGAAGGGGAGGGGAGAGATAGAAACATCAATGATGAGAGAGAACCATTGATCCGTTGCCTCCTGCATGCCCCCCACTGGGATCAAGCCCACAACCCAGGCATGTGCCCTTAACTGGAATCAAACCTGGGACCCTTCAGTCCACAGGCTGACACTCTATCCACTGAGCCAAACTGGCTAGGGATGAAATCCTATTCTTATTACTAGTATAGTTATATTGCTCAGATTTTTGTTTGAAATTCAAATGGCAATTCTTTCTTTGTGCATAAATTTCCCTGCCCACCCCTAACGGTATGGAAACAAGTTCATATAATTACTCATTGTTATTTTAATAATCTGAGGTTAACTTTTCATCTGTTTAAATCTCATAATAACATCATCTAAGACCTAAGTACTTTGAGAATAGGTAGGGCTTTAGCTTTGAATTCTGAGTATCTTTCACAGGACCCTGCACACAGAACTACATCAGTAACTGTAAATCTAATGTGAATTTTACCTTTTCTCATTACTCGTCTATTCAAAGGACTGCACAGACTAAGAAATGAAACATCAATGAAACAGTTAAGATAATTGAGGAAAGAAGAGAGGACTGATTAATTAATGAACTCTACAATTAATGGTAGAATTAAAAATAGATGATAAAATTAAAAATAAGAGAGAACACACCTGTCCTGTTTTAACAGGTATTTTTTTTAGTGCCTCTTCTTTTGCTGTGTCAGCATCCCCTGTGGCATTATCAGTGTATTCCCAGACCACGACGTCTTTCTGAATATCTTTTAGGTTGAAGTTGCCTAGTTTATTCAATGAGAATCCTTCAATCTAGAGAAAAATTAGACATACATTATTATAAGGTAGAAACAATTTTATATCAATCAGAACACATTAATCCTGAAAGGAATGAAAAGATAACACACTATGGTTCATTAAAAATGTGAAAGGTATCAGTTATGAAATTTTTCTGAGATATTTATAAATTTTTAAAAAAATATTTTTTAGAGTAAAAAATAAAGTTTTGATTTGCAAAATAAATGATTTTGTGAAATAACTCTTTAGTAAATAAGAGAAGGCAAAATGGCCCAGGCCAAAGGCCACAAGTTCTGTAGTAAATCTGTCTGGGATAAAATCTCAGATCCTGGGGTGGGAACAGGTAGAAGAGAGAATAGGGGGGATAAATGGTGATGGAAGGAGACTTGACCTGGGGTATGAACACACAATACAATATACAGATGATGTATTCTATAACTATACACCTGAAACTTATATAATTATATTAACCAGTGTCATCCCAATAAGTCCAATTAAAAAAAAGAGAGAAAAAAAAAAAATCTCAGCTCCCTCATGACTTTCTTTAGGTCTCAGGTTTCTGTTTAAAGAGATAACACTAGACCCTCCTTCATGGATAGTTGTGACATGAAATAATGGAAATAAAGGATTCAGATACAGGTATGGTATGGAGTAAATGTCAATAAATATAAGAATTGTTTCTACTGATATTGCTGAGATATTAATTGCTGAAGAAAAGCCTGGGCTCAAAAGGTCTAAGAAATGTGGACAAATCTGAACAGGTTTCTTTAGTGTACAATGGGATTTATCACAGCCTTGAAACAGGTTAATGTATATAATGAATGAATGTGGAGTGGGGTGATGTGGTATACTATTTCCCAACTGTATTTCCATATCAAATGGACTACTTCTTTGGTTTAGCACAGTAATCCTGAGAGAGAGAGAGAGAGAGAGAGAGAGAGAGAGAGAGAGGGAGAGAGGGAGAGAGAGAGAGAGAAATCATGTTGCTCCCAGTTATAACGGTTTCCTTCAAACTCAGGATGAAATTCACAGCCCTTTCCAGGGCTGAGAGAGGGCCCACATAATCTGGCTCTTTGCTTCTTATCTGACCCATCTTCCTGGCTCACAGCTGATACCTGCTACTTCTTCTGCTCGGAAGGTTCTTTCCCCCAACAATCAGGTAGCCCACTCTCCCTCAATGCACTCAGGCTCTGCTCGAGTATCTTTTTCTCTAAATAGATCCTTCGCTTTCACTTTCTGTCCTTCCCCCGGTTTATTTTTCCTCAGAGAAATTACTGCCACTTGATATGTACTCATTTACCTTTCTCACCTCACTGTATATATAAATTTGAGGACAAGGATGTTGTTTTGTTCACTGCTCTAACTCTAGCATCTAGAACAGTGCCCAGCACAGGTAAATGCTCAGTAAGGACTTGCTAACTGACTGAAAGAACAAACTGCTCTTACAGAAAATACGAGGTGCAGTGACTGTTAGATTTATATATTCAATATTTTTCTTTAATTCTGTGGATTATGTTTTTGTTTTCTTGTTGGGTTTTGAAGAGTAAAACATTTCTAAAGGGTTTATTAATATTTTTCTCTATTGATGCGGTTTGCACTTTTAGTTTTCTACATAAATACTTGCCTATCCCCAGGCTGCAAAGATTTTTCTCCTAGGCTTTCTTTTGGGCATTTTATAGCTTTAACTATGTCATTTATGGCTCTGATTCATTTTGAGTTAATTTTGGGGTATGTTGTAAAGCAAAGATTTAATGTTCATTTATGGATATCTAGTTTTTCCAAGATCAGTTATTGAAAAGACTTTCCTTTCCCCCAATGAATTGCTTAATTGGGGCAAGTCATTCAGATTTTCACAGGCTTGGGTGTGACAGAGGGCATTATCAACTAAGAGTTGACTTTGTTCTTTCTTTTTTCCCACCAGAGAAGAACATTCTAGCAAAGATACCTTCTCAAGACCCTGAATTCTTTCATTTCAGTACTACAAACACAAAGAGAGCTCCCTTAGGCAACCTGGCAAAAAGTGGACTGAAACTTCTTATTCCAGGACATAGTTCATAAGGGGCTTATTTTGCTTTAGTCTTTATTCCTGGGTCATGGCAGATAAAGGGTGCTGCTTAATTCTCAATCTATTAAGTAAAAAGAAAAAATCCTCCCCCTCTAGCCCCCAATGTATCCAAAGTTAAGTAACTACTACTCTGGTAAATGTTCCTTAAATAATGAGAATTCTACATATGTTAAGAAGAAAGGTAGTTAAAATATCCAAATGTGCCAAAGTTAGCTTTGCACCAAGTGAGAATTTCTATTAAGTAAGTGTACACAGACGTTATCAAGATAAATACCTTGGTATTAAAAGTGAGTTTAATTGTTCTTAAAGATAGTATCTAAGTATGATTTAAGAGCTTTGGAAACCAAGATGGCGGCATAGGTAAACATGGGAAACTGCTGCCTCGAACAACCACTTCAAAAATACAACTAAAAGACAAAACGGACATCATCCAGAACCACAGGAAGGCTGGCTGAGTGGAAATTCTACAACTAGAAGAAAAGAGAAAAGCACACTGAGACTCAGAGGAGGTGCGGAAGTAAAGTGCAGAGGCGCACATGGAAAGGGCTGGCAATTGAGGACACGGTTGTCTTTTTCAATCGGGAGGGAGTCGCAAGCTCCCGACTGCTCTGAACTCCAGTTCTGGGCGAGTCTCTGGGGACCCAGACTCATACGGGGAGAAACTGGACTGTCTGGCATAGGGCAGAACTCGAGGGTGGCTTTCTCTCAGAGGTGCTTGCAGCAAATACCGAGGAACACTGAGACCCCAGGCCTCTTAGGGCAGGACTGAGGATCAGCCATAGCTGTTTGCTCTGCCTTGTTGATTCCCCAAGACCTCGCCCCACCCAAGCTGTGTGCAGAGGCTTTTGCATAATAATGGCCTGGCCCTTTGCAATCTAAAATTACCTAACAAACTGCAGCTGGGTCAGAGAAACCCAGAACACCCAAAAGAAGGCCCAAGGCCCCACAGCAGCTTGCATTGCTTCACAGCTGGGCCTCATAGCTCCTGCGGGGTAGCCTCAGGCAGAGGCTTAATTAGCACCTCCTTAGAGTTCCAAGAGCCAGTGTACCCAGTGGTCAGAGCGGGACCATCCAGATTACAACTCCTCAGATCCATAAGGGACACACTAAGGGGGCAGACTCAGTGAGCACCAAAGCCCCACCGAAGCAAGTTTTGCCCATAAGGGTGTCTCCAGCACAGAAGTTCTCCCACCGTAGACACAGCTGATTCTCACAGCCAATTGGCCTGGAGGTCAATTCCTCCCAGTGATACCTACAATAATCAAGGCTTAACTACAAGACTGCACAAAGCCCACAAAGGGGAGCAACAATAGTGTCCACCTCAGGTAATTGGGGAGGCTGAGCCACTGGGCCCTATAGGACACCTAGCACAGAAAGCCACTCTATCAACACAAGGAAGCATAAAAAATGCGGAGACAAAGAAACAGGTCATAAATGACAGAAATGGAGGAAAGCAAACTAATGGATATAGAGTTCAAAACCACGGTTATAAGGTTACTCAAGAATCTTCTAGAATCCACTGATAAATTTAGTGAGACCCTCCATAAATCTAGTAAGACCCTTGAGGATATAAAAAAGGACCAACTAGAAATTAAGCATACACTGACTGAAATAAAGAATATTATACAGACTCCCAACAGCAGACCAGAGGAGCGCAAGAATCAAGTCAAAGATTTGAAATACGAAGAAGCAAAAAAACGCCCAACAGGAAAAACAAAAAGAAAAAAGAATCCAAAAATATGAAGATAGTGTAATGAGGCTCTGGGACAACTTCAAGCATACCAACATCTGAATTATGGGGGTGCCAGAAGAAGAGAGAGAGCAAGATATTGAAAACCTATTTGGAGAAATAATGACAGAAAACTTCCCCTACCTGGTGAAAGAAATAGACTTACAAGTCCAGGAAGCGAAAAGAACCCCAAACAAAAGGAATCCAAAGAGGACCACACCAAGACACATCATAATTAAAATGCCAAGAGCAAAAGACAAAGAGAGAATCTTAAAAGCAGCAAGAGAAAAAAAGTCAGTTACCTACAAGGGAGTACCCATACGACTGTCAGCTGATTTCTCAACAGAAACTATGCAGGCCAGAAGGGAGTGGCAAGAAATATTCAAAGTGATGAATACCAAGAACCTACAACCAAGATTACTTTACCCAGGAAAGCTATCATTCAGAATTGAAGGTCAGATAAAGAGCTTCACAGATAAGAAAAAGCTAAAGGAGTTCACCACCACCAAACCAGTATTATATGAAATGCTGAAAGGTATCCTTTAAGAAGAGGAAGAAGAAAAAGGTAAAGATAAAAATTATGAACAACAAATACACATCTATCAACAAGTGAATCTAAAAATCAAGTGAATAAATAATCTGATGAACAGAATAAACTGGTGAATATAATAGAATCAGGGACATAGAAAGGGAGTGGACTGACAATTCTCGGGGGGAAAGGGGTGTGGGGAGTGCGGGAAGAGACTGGACAAAAATCATATACCTATGAATGAGGACAGTGCGGGGGGGGGGGGGGAGGGTAAAGGCAGAGGGTGGGGTGGGACTGGTGGAGGGGAGCTATGGGGGGGAAAAGAGGAACAACTATAATAATCTGAGCAATAAAGATTTAATTTAAAAAAGTATTATTTAAGAGGTGATTACTAAGTTCTGTATCAATAGCAATTCTTATATCAAATTATAAAACTGTACCTAGAGACAGTGTACCAAATGATAAATTTATTACAGGTTCACATTCTCTTGTTCAAAACCCTCAGGATCGTATGTGTTTCACAAGTGTTTTCTTCAATTTAGAATAGTTCTCCCAGCAGAGGGTGGAGCAGCATATTGTAAACAAATACATTAACATTTCAGCAGTTAAATATATGAATATTCACAAGAGGATAAATTCATGTCAATTCTGAGTAGGTTTTTAAATTTTGAAATTATGCACAGGTATTGTGTAGTCCTGTATAAAAATCAAAATTGAATATATAATCAAAAAAGTTTTATACCCATGATCCTAGATAAACAGGTAGAAGGGGTTCTTTCCTCTGCTGAAGAAAGAAAACTGTCATCAGGGCAAACACATAGGGTGGCAAACCTCCTTCTTCAGGGCGATCTATACTGCAAAGCTACAAATGAGAGAAAAGAGGATAAGCATTCATTTGTACCACCCTGTTATATAATTTGGTCTAAAACCTGTCACTTCTTTTCCTTGTATTACATAATTTACTCCTCAAATAAAACACCACAGTGACAAAACGTAAAGGCTCCTTATACTTTTGGAGCAACCACATATTGTGGTTTTGAGTAACAGCTTTAATTTCAACATTTTAATCTTGTTAACTACACTTATTTGTAAAGGATCCTAACATAGTATTTGCTGTTTCATTTTTTTCACATCCACAGTAATCCATTCACTTGGTTAAAACATTTGTTAATGAAATCAAAACGATGGTTTGATTCCAAGTGCAAGCCCTCACCATCCTAACCTACTGCCTTGAAAATGCATGCTTTGACCACATAAGTGATCAGGGGAGGGAATGTGGGCAGATTCATTAACACTAACAAAAACAACTTAAAAGCATGGTCTAGCCTGGCCAGAGTGGCTCAGCTGGTTGAGCATTGTTCTGTGCACTGAAAGGTTGCTGGTTCAATTCCCAGTGAGGGCACATACAGAAGGCAACTGATTGATGTTTCTCTTCCTTTCCCTTCCTCTGTGTGTGTCATTGGGCGAGGATTAAAATAAAAATAAAAAGGATGGACTATTTAGTGATAAAGCAGGAGGCAGCTTTCAAAGAATGGCATACTGTAATTATCAACTTACCCAGTTAAGAGTGGGGTACTCTCTGTTTAGCTTGGCCACAAGCCACAGGAACTATATGCATTGTTACTGCTATCTATTAATCAGTAAAGCTTTGGATTTTCTCTATAAAGCACCTGCAGAGCAACTCATTTTTATAGTCATGATGGGACCTTACGTTTTGGGGCAATGTTAAATGCTCTTTTAATTGAGGTACTGTATTTAAAACATTATGAAAATGTAAGCAAGACCAGATAGTGGCTTTCATTTTTTGGAGTCTCTGGGTATTCAAACAATATTACTGGAAATGAAGCTTTATTTCAAGCTTTCCTGTGGCTTATAATCACCTCATAAAAATAGTTAAAATGTAAATTCTTGGGCCATATCTTCTGGGATTTGACTCACAAGTCTGATTTATAATATGCACTATAAATCTTTTGAGCAATACTACTATATAGTGAAACAGAAACAATGAATTTCCCTTTCTGTGCACATTAAAATTTCTGGTCCACCCTAGCTGGTTTGGCTCAGTGGACAGAGCATTGGCCTGTGGACTGGAGGGTCTCAGGTTTGATTCCAGTCAGGGGCACATGCCCAGGTTGTAGGCTCGATCCCCAGTAGGAGGCGGGCAGGAGGCAGCCAATCAATGATTCTCTCTCATCATTGATGTTTCTACCTCTCTCTCTCTCTCTCCCTTACTCTCTGAGATCAATAAAAGATATTTTTAAAAAAAATTGCTGTTCCAATATTCAGATGCCTACTCTCTTTGTGTTTATAAATATGCATCCAAAGATTTAAGATTAAATTAACCATACAAAAATCAAAGCATATACGTAGAATGTATTCACAAACTTAAGCACTAGACCTACCTTTGCCCAGTACCTAAATGCAATCACCAAAGGAACCAGCTTTGGTTCTAGTTTTCCAAGGGCAGTTAAGTGATTTGTTGTCAGACAAGCATGTTCATTTCCTGCACTCACTTTACAAAGAAGTCCACTGGAGGGGGCAGAGATGAGGATGGGAAGGAAAAAGAAAAGATAAAAAATGTTATATAGGTATCAGGTATCTTTCATGCCAACAACTAATTTACATTGATAATAAGTTCTTTAAAAATGAAAGTAAAGTATTAAAACCCCAAAACTCACTAAATCTTAAGAAAGTGTGTTGTTGTTGTTCTTTTTTAATTAAAAAAAAAATAGGGCAGCCGTTTTCTGAGTAAATTTTACTTTCAGAACTAAAAACTATGCACTTTCATACATTAAAACTATTTTGTGTGGAAATGAAAATAAGGGAATACTGCCCTAGCCGGTTTGGCTCACTGGATAGAGCGTTGACCTGGGGACTGAAGGGTCCCAGGTTCGATTACTGTCAAGGGCATGTACCTTGGTTGCGGGCACATCCCCAGTAGGGGGTGTGCAGGAGGCAGCTGATCGATGCTTCTCTCTCATCGATGTTTCTAACTCTCTATCCCTCTCCCTTCCTCTCTGTAAAAAATCAATAAAATATATACTTAAAAAAAAAGAAAATAAGGGAATACTATAAAATATTTCAAATGAGAGCATGAATTCCTATTTGTAAGTATACAAGAGTGTTCTCCCAAGAGTTGGAGAAATCTGCCTAGTAAACAATCATTACAGCCTGTAAACCACCCACTTACAGTACTGATAGTACTTCCAGATGGAGAGAGAAATACATGGGTGAAGTCATCTAATTGCTATTTAGCAGTGCTAAAAATGCTGCTAAAAAGATGGCAAAGGTGATCAGAGCAAGTAACTGATTAAGTTGTTTTTTACCATGTTGAAATGGGTCAAAATGTTTCCTTCCTCTATTTTTTCCTTTTAAAAAATTTTATTCTTTTCAAAATAAAAGTTTCCTTTTGCATCAATTGCCAAAAGTATAGGCGAAATCTCGTAGTACGCCTATGAAATTAACCACATAAGGACTCTATCAATCTAGAAATTAGACATAAGATTTAGTGAAGTATAGAAAAAAAAGGTTTAGTGAAATACACGTGCTTTTGGCAAGTTGATATTTAATATATAAACAGCTTAAAGAAACAGACCTTTTCTTTTCTTTGCACACCACCATTGGCACCCTAGCATGAAAATCTGCATCAACATCAATAAAAGAATCTGAGGAAAGAAGACAAAAATGTTAAGTAGGTTAATTATACTTTTGTTTAAATAGAGAACTAGATAAAGTACAAGTTCCAGCTGTGACTTATCTGCTCTGCCTTTTCCAAAACCATTATTAAGTAAAGCTCCAAGATGAATTGAAAAGTAAAAAGTATTATATTTAAGAATTAAGTAATCATGTTAATTTAAAACCCTTATTTTGTAAAACTATGTTTGACTGAAAATGACTATATTATTGAATTAGACTGTTTAAATGTTATATAATAACATAATTAGAAATATGTGTAGGCTATTCAAACAAAATTGCTGCAAAAGTTTCTAAAATATTTGATGTCAAAAAATATATGAAGTAAAAAAATATGTTTACAGGTTTAATTCAACAAGAAGGATGGGAAAGACTAATTCAATAGAGAAGACAGTTGGATGAGACCTTTGGAAAGCATAAAAAGCCATTAAATCCCAAGCTGGACAACTGACAAGTCTATTTGGGAACAACTGTTCGTTGATTCATTAATCAGGGTTGGGTCACACCTATTTGCCATTAGAAAGTATTAATTTAAACCACTGTATAAAGCAGATTACCCTTTAGTTTTACCCTCAAGAGTAAATTTTACATATTTTGTGTCTTCTTAGACTTGGTCTAAGGTTCATTTAATCTTTACAAATTGTGACATTATTATCAAGCTAAATAATGACTTCCAGCCGAAACCGGTTTGGCTCAGTGGATAGAGCGTTGGCCTGCGGACTGAAAGGTCCCAGGTTCGATTCCGGTCAAGGGCATGTACCTGGGTTGCAACCACTGTATAAAGCAGATTACCCTTTAGTTTTACCCTCAAGAGTAAATTTTACATATCGATGTTTCTAACTCTCTATCTCTCTCCCTTCCTCTCTGTAAAAAATCAATAAAATATATATATATAAAAAAAAAATAATGACTTCCGATTTTCAAAGTTTCAGAAATGATATATTTAAATTATAGACAAAAGAAACATTTAAAAGTAAAATGTAGAAAGAATCTGGCCATACCACTGTTCTTTAAACATTCCTGAACAAGTAGGAGAACATCTGGCTGAGACATCTAGAAAATAGATCAATGAATACATCAAATTATCTGCAAGTACTTTTGCTTCACTGAGATGATATACAGTCATCTGAAATTATCCAAATTAGAAAGTACATTACCACCAGAGTAAAGAAATTAATCATTATAGTGGTCAGGGACAGAGAAATGAGCACCAAACGAGGATGAATATGGGCAAAGGAGACCTACTACACAGTTAACTCCAAATTATCTAATTCCTGAGTTACTTAGCCTCTCAGCAAATCTCAAAAGCTGTGGCTAGAAGCTGACATACTGTGAACAATATTACTCTCTCACTCTCTGAGACTCAGTGAATATTTGCTAAATGAAGGAATGAATCAAAACTGCTGTGCTGGTAAATTACTAATCATAATTTAAGGTTAAAAGAATAGTAAAATCTATTGGTCAGCTGACCATGGTGCAAAAGTACCCGGGATGGCAAAGAATGAGGCTGTGAAATAGAACATCTGTGGGTAGAACCCAGGAATTTGTATTTGAACTAGCACCCCAGGTAAATTAAATGGGCACGAACCATCTACACACTGGGCCATGGTAACCACCAGTGGATAAATGGATAATCTACTAAAGTGCCTCCCAGTTTTAAAATTCTGACTCATCAAAAGTTTTTCTGAGTCATGTTTAAACCAGAAAGTTAGGTCATGTGTGGTTCTTCAAAAGCATAATTATTTTTGAGTGGCTGGGGATAGTAGGAGGGAATAAAAAAAAAAGCATAATTGCCCTAACCGGTTTGGCTCAGCGGATAGAGCGTCGGCCTGCGGACTCAAGGGTCCCAGGTTCGATTCCGGTCAAGGGCATGTACCTTGGTTGTGGGCACATCCCTAGTAGGGGGCGTGCAAGAGGCAGCTGATCGATGTTTCTCTCTCATCGATGTTTCTAACTCTCTATCCCTCTCCCCTCTTCTCTGTAAAAAAAATCAATAAAATATATTTTAAAAAAAAGCATAATTATTTTAATAAAGTAGGTGTATAAGAGAGGAAACCCAGAAGCAAATTAAGCTTTCAGGTCATAAAAGTTATATATCTACACTGTTTAACATCTAAAATTCTTTCCTGCACTGGAAAGTTGACTTTCCCAAGGTAATTTAATCATTTCAAGTTAACTGAACCTAAATAGTCCCATAAGATTCACATGGTAAGAATACCAGTATTTGACGTATAAAAGATCTAAAGAGTAAAATAAGTATGAAAAACTGTAGTGTATTTGAAATAATGCCCTCAAGCTGAAGACAGGCAAAAGAAAATAGAAATTTTAGGAAAAAAAGCTGCCATCATTACACTTAAAAGAATCTGCAAATCTCTAAACTATATTCATATTTGAAATATAGAATTTCCATATCACTCTATGAAAATTCCAACATTTCATTTTGTACTTACAATGGCTGGAAATTGAATGTCAATGTTTACATCTGAATTTTTGAAACCCAATTGGCTACAGGATGACCCATATAATCTTAGAGAACAATCTAAAAAAAAAGTAAAAAAATAAAAGTCATAAATAAGGTAAAATTTCTTGAAAGTTAGAACAAAACACTGTTATTTCAGAAACAGGACCATCAATTAAAACTATACACAAAAGCAAAACACTATTCAAGTCTGGCATAAACAAAGGATAGCAAGGGTGACTTTTTGCTCTTTATTTTATTTTATTTTATTTTATTTTATTTTATTTTATTTTAATAGGGAAGACTGCATTGACAGTGATTTAGCATCAGGGCTACTCTTTTCAGTTGTAAAACATATTTTAAAAATTCCTAAATTATTATTTCACATTTTGTGCAAAAAATACTACTTGCTATCATTTTTAAAATGTTTAAATGTGAAAATGAAAAGAAATGGCTAACTTTGTTTTATATTTATAAACCTGATAGTATACTAAAGAGTTAATGCAAACACTTCACCTTTTAGAAAGGCCACATAAGGTGTAATTTACTATAAAGATTTTGTTTCTATAAAACAATAATCATAAAAATGACCTTCAGCATAAAGATTTTTAATAGGAATACTCATATGATAAACAAAAAGCATTTAACATAATATAATCCCTTTAGGAAAACTTTTGAAAAATAATTATATAACTGATATAAAACACTAGGCAACATGTGATTCACTTTTCAGAGAAAAGTGTGTATATGGCCTATATTTACCACTCAATGTTTTACCACCATTGTGCCAAAATTTTATCCTTTCTCATCAGGAAACTTTGTGGGTTTTTTTCCCCCAGGTTAAGTCAAGTGATTTCTTTGGGCTTTAAAAGTTTCCCATGGAAAAAATACATTCAATTTTACAATGGAAGTCTATGGCAAAATACATCAACATTATAAGTGACTTTTCAGGAACTATCTACAACATAAAGAATGATGTCCCTATATCACGAAATGAGCAAATTTTCACCCTTTATTTTTATGAAAGCATGTATGAATATGAATGATACACTATATATGTAATGATCTTACAGTGGAGCAAATGGTTCTATGGGTAATATGGTAATAATTAAAACAGTGATTTCAACCCTAGCTGTGTTTTAGAATCACTTGAGAAACATCCTAAAAAATAGTTTCCCATGGCTCCACAGACATAATATGGAGAATGAATTCAACAGTACACAAAATCTATTACAAATTAGTTTGCAAAGCTCATTTTAGATATTATAAGTCTTTTAAGTGTGGTTAAATAGAACCTTTTTTGGACACAGATACATGAAACTGACTCCAACATACTTCTTTGTATTTTAACTCAAAATATTATATCAATTTAAATAGGTAGAAAAGTAAACAAATATATACACAAGAGTCCCATAGTGCCCCACTAACATGGGGCATTTAATTTCAAGTACATGCACATAATGAAATTCACAATGAAAACAGGTTTAATGACAATGAATGTAAAAGTCTTTGTTTCCTCAGGGGGAGCCAGGAAAAACAAAAACAGGCAAAAAATAAAGATATGGCAAATCAATTTCTATTAGGTAAAAATTATTACTAGTAGGTAAAATGACTGAAGTACCTTTAGCTAGGTAAATAGAAAGACAAATCTAGAAAATACCTGGTAACTTGTGTTGGAACACATTTTCCATGATACGTTTAATTTCTAGTCTCTGTTCCAAGTTCTCATTGAGTAACCCAAACTCCTGTACAACCTTGTCAATGGCAATACCAATTGCATTTATCTGGGAGGGCGTAGGCGGGGGCAATGTAGTAAGCAACTCTTCCTCCTGCTTCTCCTTTTAAGATCAATGTTGAGATTAAAAAGTGACACACTTTTTTATCCTTCTACCATTTACCAAGACAACACTATAGTATATTCTTAGCCTTCCCTTTTACTTTAGCTGTGTTAGTTTTCATGTTATCAAACATTTCTTCATACACATAAAGTAATAATAGCAGGAAGGCAGGAATAAGAAAAAAGTGCTAAAAAAAGAATATTAAAAACAGCAATGACAAATTATTTTATTACTGGCATAACGACATATACTAAAGTCCTATCAAAGACTTTGTTCATCTTCATAGTATCCTTAAGGAAATTCATAAGACTACCCAGTAAAACATGTCTGAGCAGCATAAAGTATTTTGGGTAAGTTCAATAATATAGGTAGCAAAGTTATTAAGGAGAGGAAAGTCACAAATACAAGAAATAACAACTGACAGGTAAACATTTGTTTTGGTTACTTTAAATTTACCTTAATGTTTTTCTTGTGCCTCTTCTCTTTGATATGCTTATGGGCAAATGCAATAGATTCAATGAAAACATCACAAAGTTTGCAGGTGTACTTTGCTGTAGGGTAGTTTCTTGGTCGCTATAATTTGAAGAGATTTATAAGATACATATCTTTAAAACTATAGGTCAACAAAAATTAGGCAGATGATTTCCCCTCCACTTTTAAAATTGTTAATATGTTACTGTCACTCTCTCACTATCTTAATAGTCATTTTTATTTAAGTAATTCATTAAATCAAACTATCACTTGTAGCTTTCAGTGCTTCAATACTAATAACCAAAGTAGGATATCTAATTCACCAAAGCACATATCCCCAATTACTAACACAGTTTAAACAAAACAAGGATTTTAACTAACAAATCAAAGTTGTTACCCTTTTCAGCCTGTCAATGCAGTCCCTTTTCAGTCGCTCCTCAGCCTGCTGTAAACCCAGGAGCTCCTTTGCTGAGAGCACAGACTCGTCGATCACAGGGCCTTCCAAGTCCCCATCCAGTTCACTTTCCCCATTTCTAGTCCTCCGTGGCTTCCTAGGTCTGGACTTCTGCATCTTGTCTTCTTAAGTTAGGGAAAAAATATTATTGGTGGTATTAAATAACAGAACTGACTAAAAAGCAGAATTTTATATTAATTAATGAAATCATGTAATATCTGAATGACAACTGAACACAGAGCATAAGGAAAGGGATAGGCATGGATAGAATGTCTGAATACTCATTAAGCGCCTCATCTACATACATTAATCCATAGAAATAGGTGTGTTTTAAACTTAAAAGGAATTCTACTTCAATCATATAATTTGATTTTATCATCTTTTGGTATACTGCTGAAAGTATCCTCTGAAGGTGAGTATACCTGTTCTAATATACCTAATATATCATAATATATAATGTACTATATTCTAGTGTACTTGTAAGTATACCTGTTATTCTAATGAAAACTATCCACATTTGCTTTCATTTTCATAAGTGAACAATATCAACAGAGCACAGATGGACAATAAATATGTTTCCAAAGATCTCAGAAATCAACTACATTCTTATCTGAAGTGAAAATTCAGTCTTCACATAATTGTCCCCCCACATTAATATCAAGAAGTTTAAGCCAAAATTTTATTTACTGAGGACAACTACTTCCCATTTTATCTTTACTTTCACTTTCACTTCTTCAATGGCATGCACACTGAATACTTGTGAAACTTAAGGTGATTGTGGAATTGCTTTATAAAAAAATTGTCATAAATAACTTGGATAACTTCCCTCAAGTTCTGAAAAATGAAACTATTAGTAACACATGCAATTAAAGTTAAATTCATTTCTCCAATTAAAATTGTGATAAATAGATTGAATGACTTGAATGGAAATAAAGTTTCTAAATGGCTTACCAATAACTAGTCTGAAAATAGAAACCTGCAATGCCCTGCATAAGGCAATTCCTGTCAAGTTTCCACTGGAACTTATTACTTGTATAGCAGCTACAATAAATCAGTTGATTGAAAAAAAAATTCTATCAGAAAAGGGAGATACAGGACCTTTATTTTACAAAAGCTACCTGCTAACAGTTCTAAAGGGAAATCAGCAAGCACTGTGTTCAAACAACCATAAGATGAATATAGTGAAATTCTGCAAACAGTTTCTGTACTATAGTAAGTGGCAATTAAACAAAATTAAAGTATTAGGACAAATACAGTTTTATTTTTAAAAGCAACCAACATAGATCAAACAAAATAGTAAAAAGTAGTCATTGGAAGAAAAAAATCAGTCTACACCTTGATACTTGCTTTTAAATACTCTCCCTACTCCCAATTAAAATATCAATCTTTTAAGGACAGTACTCTTGGTCTGCCTAAACTTTTGAGATAGGCATTTCTTTTACTTTAAAGGAATGTCTATTTTCATTTCATTTGCTTATCATTACCAACTTAAAAAAAAATTGCATCTGATTTCAGTATTCAGAACGGAAGTTTCTCACTTAGGCAAACACTAGAGATTTACACCAACATGTGCAATACCCATTAGGAAAGTCCATATTAGTTCACAAAACACTAACTGATATAGAACTAAATTCCTTTTTTATTTTTTTTAAAAATATATTTTATTGATTTTTTACAGAGAGGAAGGGAGAGAGATAGAGAGTTAGAAACATCGATGAGAGAGAAACATCGATCAGCTGCCTCCTGCACATCTCCCACTGGGGATGTGCCCGCAACCCAGGTACATGCCCTTGACTGGAATCGAACCTGGGACCTTTCAGTCCGCAGGCTGACGCTCTATCCACTGAGCCAAACTGGTTTCGGCCCAAATTCCTTTTTTAATCCCTCTTCTCTCCTACTCACAAAGACTTCTAAATGTAACTATATTTGCTGTCATTTTGTAGAAAGAATGACTTCAATTTCCCTCCAGAGACCACAATTAACTCCTTACTGTTTTTATTACAGAGAAGTAGGTGGCTGCAGAAATTTTGTCTGATGCTGATGATAACAGCAGCTACCATTACAGAGTATTTTATTATGCAACAGATGCAATGCAAGCAGTTTATATGGCATTGCCTCATTTAATCCCTACAGTGATCCTGTCATGGATGCTAAAATTACTCCCATTGTACAGATGGGGAAAATGTTGGTCCAAGAAAATAAGTGACTTGTGCAGAGACACATGACTAAGTCAAAGCAAAGGGATTTGAAACAGAGATTAAAGCATAGATGAAATTCTTAAATTCAGCCTTGTAACAACATACAAACTAAAAAGGATTAATTAAAATCCCTTCTTGCAGCATACTCATTCACAACTAGAACAGACCAGTATTGATAAGGCAATATAACCTGAACCTCACAGGCCTGCATAGTAAAAATGATCAAATAAAATCCAGCTGTTGGGAATCGGGAAAGCAAAGCTGGGTTTTGCTAAAAAATAATTCCCATAATTACTTAAGACTACCTGGCTTATCCCAAGTTTTTTGGTAATATGAATGAATTCTCTATATACAGTATTCTAAGTTCCCATATTTTACTTGCATATGAACCATTGTTCCATTCACAAAGGACATGTGTATTTGAATGGATGTTTTCCAGCTAAGATTATTAATGGAACTGTCCCAAATACGATAAATTGGCAACCTAGGATATTTGAGAGATGAAGTGTAAGTGGTAATGAAAAATAGGTAGTATTAAAGCAACTCGAGATAATTTCACTACATTTTCTCATATCATTTAATAAGATCCTTCCTTATTAAGACAAGTTTGAGTTCAGGAAAATTTCTGTTCCTTTAATGAGATCCTTTTTAGGAATCTCTGAGTGTAGTGCAAAGTTTAAATTTCTCTCTATAGTGAGCAATGTTATACCAAAGCTTAGTATTTCCTGTATGAAGATTTTCAAGAAATAGAGACTGAAAAGACCTTTAATTAGCATTTGTGAAAGAATCATCTGTATTTCACATAGAGAAAACATGGGAGCTTTCAATAAAAAGACAGTAAAGACGCATTTCCTATTCAAAACCTCTTAAAATCAACTTCTTTTAAAATGAAACACAAATACATATAAGAGGTTTTTGGTATGTAAACAGTCCCTTTTAATATCTTTCTGGTTGAAAACTCTTGATCTATAAACCTTTCTTTACATAATGCTGCTCAACATCAAATTTTCTTTTCTAAAAGACCAACTATTGGTAACTAAGTTAAAATGTCCATGTCCCACAGACACAGTAATACACAAATACTTAAAATCACACAAAATTTTAAAAAGAAAAACACAAACGAAAGTCCAGAAATTCCATGCGTGTGCAGTTTCCCTCTGTCAGACTGCAGGTCCAGTGACGCTGAGTTAGCAGCCAGAGCAGCAGAGTACGTACATGATTTCAGTTTCACTTCCTCATCTGCCATTCTACATAAACAAGTCTGGATAAATTTAACCTCTCTGAGCCACAACTTCCTGCTTTGTAAAATTGTGATTCTACCTTTGGTATATCATGACAGACAATTCCTTCAAGTTCTTTACAGCTTCAAGATTTCCGAGGCTAAGGTTTGATCTCTCCCATGCATTTGATTCCTAATACCTCATTCTGTTTTGGCTATTTGATTCAAAGCATTTTCTTTTGCTTTTCCTATTTAGAAAAATATAAAATAACACCTTTTCTTCCCATTTTATACTTTCATAAGACCCTATAAAGACAGAACATGATGTTTTCCCTATTAAGACTTATAAATGTACAGGTGAGAAATGTCCTACAGGTTTAAAACACACACACACACACACACACACACACACACGCACACACACTGGCCATTGTGAGATAATATGAAGGAAAAGGGCCTAGAAAGTGCCAACATTGCCTACCTGTATTTAAATTAAAAGAAACAAACACACACACACAAAACCAAAACCTGTAAAAGTGCTAGCTAGTTTGCAACTCATTCTATATGGCCCCCTTTCCTTCAGCCACACTGGCTTCCTTGCTCTTCCTGGAATGTACACGCTCTGTCTTGGCCTTTACACAGGGGTGGGAGAGGAGGACATTTTCCTCAAAAATTCCCAGTGCTGGCTCCCTCACTACCTCAGTGAGGGCTACCTTGATCAGTCTATTTAAAAAGTGTCAACCGCCTCTCCCTCACTACCCACCAGGCCCAGCACTCCATTTCTTTCTCTCATTATTTTATAGTCAGTCAGGAACTGCTTTAAGTTTTTAGGAAGAAATTGTTTTTAATAGGAAGCAAACCAGTAGTGACGATGGAGGCCGAGTGTTTAGCTAGGCTGATTTGGTAGCAGAAATGAGGAAGAACTACAGACTGGGAATATAAAGAAGACAGATTTCAGTAGTAAAATTAACAGGAATAATTTGGGTAGTAAAATTAGTAAGACATAATAGCTTATTCAATAGGGGAAGGAAAGGGAAAAGAGCATAACTAAGTTGCTTAAAAAAACAAAGCAGGCAGCCTTGGCCAGTTGCTCAGTGGTTAGAGAGTTGACCTTCAGACTGAAGGGGTTCAGGTTCGATTCCAGTCAAGGGCATGCACCTTGGTTGCAGGCTTAATCCCTGGCCTGATCTTGGTCGGGCTCATGTGGGAAGCAACCAATTGATGTATCTCTTTCATATCGATGTTTCTTTCTGTCTCTCCCGTCCCTTCCACTCTCTTTAAAATCAATGGAAAAAATATCCTCGGTGAGGATTAACGTTAACAACAAAGTCAACAAACGTAATTTTCCAAGAATAATTTTCTAAGCATACTTTGCATTTTCAGACTAAATATTAGTTTTATTTTTTTCTGAAAATGTGTGACTTTATTTTAGTAATTACTGTCCATTTGATAAAAATAATTTTCCTGTTTACAGATATCATTGGTACATAAACAAAATCTATTCACCTTTTAGAAAAATGTATAATGCTTTGGGGCAATTATTATCAAACATGTAGGACACTCAGAATAGGCTTCTGGTTTGAAACTAAAAGGTAAAGCTTTTATGTGTATTTCTGACTTCTAAACTTAGTATCTCTCAACACGTTTGTAAAGCTCACTTTTGAGGAAAAATAAAAAAATCTTGGACTACCCACCTCTCCCTCTGTAGCAAGAGCTATATGCAGTCTATATTGTGCTTTTATATCAAATAAGATTTTTAAAAATCTTCACAGTCTGTCATTTATATTATTCAAATACAAAACTGTGATACCTGATTTAGACATTATATACACACACTCAGAAATTATGATATAGTCTCCAGGAGGATATGATCACCCTCTTATGTAAAAAACACCAACAGGATATATGTTGACTAAAGTAAAATGAGCATTATGGCAAAGGAAACTTTTAAAGGGACCAATATACACATGTATCACAACTGCAATCCTTAAAATAATTATATTAAATAAGCATAAGCAGAAACTATGAAAAATTTGAACTGCATTGCTAAAAATAATAAAACTCATTTGGATGAAAAAGAAAAGACTTTGCTGATTTTGGGTTGTTAACTTGACAGATTGCAACACATTACCATGGCTTCCTGTTTCCACTTCTGACATGGTTTCCAGGCTTGTCGGGTCTTTGTGAAATAGTCGCCTTACAGCTCTACAGCCTCTTCCATCTTGCCACCGATATCCATCTTCACTTTCTTGAAAGGAGTCTTTTCTTGGTCGGTTCATAACAGGAATTCTAGGTCCTAGTCTGAATTCTCTCCAACTCTCTGAACTACCAGCAAGTTCATCTGATAGCCATCTCTTACTTTGATCTCTGTGGTTGTCATTTACCCAAACGGGTGGACTGTAAATTGGGTTTTTAAATGCATATGGATTGCTGGAAACAGCATATGGTCCTTTTCTCGGAGTATTCCCATAGTTCCCTGGTGTTATTTTTTTCTTGGGAAGGCCTTTTTCCATTTTATTGCTATGGCCTTTGGCATAATCATCCATTATTAAATAATCTTGTTGAGGGTGACCCCTTCTGAAATCCTCATCTTCTATAGCTCCCCGGTCTTTAGCACGCTTCACAAAATAAGGTTTTGCTGTATCTCCCATGGTCTTTGACTTCACTTTTACTTTGCACCTGAAAGAAAGCATTTTGGGGGAAAATCAAACTATAACAAGATATCATACCTAGTGTACCAAATACCACATATATTGCACAGATGCTCAAAAGCCCATAAGAAACTCCCCCCCCCCCTTATTTTCATCACATTCCAATAATCAGTGTGTTACACTAGAAGTTAGGAGGCTTATCCTATGATATTCATCATGAAAATTAGTACTTACTATCCTATATAATAAAAGGCTAATATGCAAATCAACCGAATGGCAGAATGACCGGCCGCTATGATGCACACTGACCACCAGGGGGCAGATGCTCAACTCAGGGCTCCCCCCTGGTGGTCAGTTGGCTCCCACAGAGGAAGCACTGCTCAGCCAGAAGCCCTGAGCCCGGCTCAGATGCTGCTATGGCAGGAGCCTCTCCCACCTTGGTGGCAACCTTAAGGCTGTCCAACTGAGGCTTAGGCCTGCTCCCCACCAGGGCTCCTGAACTGCGAGAGGGCCTAGGCCAGGCTGAGCGACCCCCACCCCCACCCCCAGTGCAAGAATTTCGTGCACCGGGCCTCTAGTTTAACATGAAGATTAAACCTGTGACTAGGGGAAGCTCCCTATAGTCTCGAGAAGTGGAGTATTAAAAAATGTTACTCATACCAAGTTTCACCTATATGACAAAAGCGCTTCTCTTAAAAAACAAAACAAAAAGAAAAACCTTCATCCCAAGCCTATACTGTTAGAAAACTCCCGAAACAGTCTTTAAAACTCCACGTTCCCGTCCCTCCTCCCGTCCCGGGACCTTGGCTCACCTCACCACCCCGATTCAGACCGATGGCTTCGGTCGCTTGGGTGACGGAGGCCCCACCGAGGCTCCGCTCCAGTCAAAGGGGCTGGGTTTCCAACCAAGAAACAACTCCAGCGACTCTTCCCCGTCCTCCTCCTCCAACCCCAAACAAGTTTCGTTTTTGTCACAAACTGCAATTTCCCCTCTACGATCCCCATCGGATCGCCCCGCCCCCGATCTGCCTCAGTTTCACCCTTTGGGACCCGAGGCGGAGAAAGAGGAAGCGTCCCCGTATTCTCGGCCACGAAGCCACCCACCGCGGGTACCAGGAAGCAGGAAGTGACCTACCTCCCCGATGGGTTCCGAGGCCCCCCGGGCTGGCCTCCACCTAAATCCCTTCTTCTTCGGCCCTCGCAGGGTCTGACAGAAAGTGGAGATACGGACTCGAACCCGATAGCTCAGTCCCCGCTGGCCTGGCCCCTGGGACCGAGGCCAGCGGAGGATGAAGCCAACGTAACTCCTGGGCGGAGCCCGCCCTCCAGTCTGGGGACCGGGGAGCCTATCGGAGACTCACCCCGGAGGCGAGCCTGGGAGGGACGGCGCGGAGAAGACGCTCGGAACACTCACCACCTCCGCGGCGCTCCTCCGCCTCCCTCGGTCCGGGCTGGGCTCCCTCTCTGTGTTGTCTTTCGGCCCCACTTCCGGCGCTCAGCGCTGGCTCATTGTGCGCGATTGGGAGACGGGGGTTGCCCCCGCCGGAGAGCTCCGCCGCTCACGCCGGAAACGCGCGCCCAGCCGAAGGGCCGCCCGCCTCCAGCCCGCCCCTCCCGCCCCGCCTCCGCAGCGCCACGCCCACTTCCGCCGCCGCCGCCGCCGTGCGCTCATTCTCCGGAGAAAGGACATCCTATCAGGCCGTGGCGTCTGTGCCCCGTCCTCCTCGCCCAGGTCTCCTCTCTACCGGGGAGGCGGGGAGGCGGGGAGGCGTAGGAAGGAAACCTCTGTTTCTCCGAGGGAGACGCGGAGCCCGCGGTCGGCGCTGCCGCTGCCGGGGTAGGCTCGCAAGCCCGGTTTGCCCCTGGAGGCTCCCGGTTGCCGGGTGTGAGGTCTCAGTGTTCTTGCCATTTTCCTGGTCGTTCCGAGGAGGCCTTGGTTGCCGGTCCTGTAGAAGTGCCCATCCTGTTTCAGCATCCGCTGCTCATCCAGCTCTCAGTATGGTGGAGGGAAAGGCTTTGCTTTTTTTCTTAGATTGTGTACGTGTTAGTTTTACGTAAACAAAAACAACACAGAACGGTGCTTTTGAGAATATGTGTAATCGAAAAAGATGACCCAAGAGATGTGCTCGAATTTTTGAACGAAAATTGCACACCCGGAGCTAGCAAACACCCCAGAGCGTTGAGAAAATGTGATAGTTTTGATTGCTCTGCTTTAAAACATTTAAACAAATTCATGAGATCCTGTGAGGCCTTGGTCTTAAAATAATGATGAACCCATAAGTACTGGCTACTGCCAGGAACTGGTCTGGGGGCTTTACAAATATTAAGTCGTTTAATCCATGCCACATCCAAATGCTTTGGTTCTGAAAAATACATGGGAATCAAGCCAGTAACCTGTTTGACAGGCAGACAGTGCCTTTAATAGAGTCCAAAGGGAGCTTGGTGATGCATGATTACATTTATTAAGGGACAGTAGCGTTGCCTCACCCAGTGGAGTAATTCTTGCACACAAGAACTGGTTTAGGAAAAGTTCTAGAGGAGCAATAGAAGATAAATCTTTTTAAGGCTTTTAAATATTTTTTTACTTGCATTTTCTTCAATGCACCTCCAAAAAACCTAACTTTTATTCTAAACTTGCTTTGAAGTTTGTTAAAAAGAAATAGCAGACCCACAATGCAGTCACTGTGATAAGCCCCACCAAGACTTAATACCTAAACTAATCACAGGAGTGGAATTTTAATTCAATTTGAAATTTCCTGATCAGCACTAGTGAAGTAATATGCCCAGTAAGAACCTCCTGCCCTTCCCTAAGGGAAGGTGATCTTGCCTGAAATAATTCACTCTTTTACCTTTCTTGTCCTACCATCTTTCTGTCTAAAACAGCCTTCCATTTTGTACAATTCCTTGTAGTGCCCTTCTAGTTGCTAGATGGGATGCTGACTGACTCATGAATCAATTAATAAACCAATTAGACTTTCAGATTTATTCAGTTGAATTTTGTTCTTTAACAAGATTCATCTTGAGGATACCGGTATTAATCAAAGGATATTGACAGTTAATATACCTCTGTCTATATTATACTGCAATGACAATTTAAATTGGTCATGGGGACCCATAAAATTAAGTTGAAAAGTTTGGTTTAAAAAAAATTTTTTTTTGTTTTGTTACTGGAGGGAATTGAGTTTCTCAGATTGTGTGATTGCTTCACGGTCTAGACATTTTTCCAACAACTTGGAGCAGAAATTTGGGGCCTGTTTGGCTCAGAGGACATTAATATTGCTCCATATGTTACAATGTGTCTTCTCCCTTGAACCAGAAGCTGAACATTGTGGCACCTCTTGACAAGTTAACCTTTAACAAACACTGTGTCAACGCTGTTTTTCCTGTAGGGCCATGGAGTCAGAAGTGCAGAGGTTGTGTTCATAGCTTTGTCAGCCAATTTTTTCCCCTTAGTGCTTTTTATTCACTTTGTTAGTGAATTACATTGGCTCCCCCTTTAACTATGTCCAGAGTCCATTGACTCCTCACCACTTCCACTGCTCCCAACCTGATGTTAGTCACCACCATGGCTCTGATGCATTGTTGCAATCATCAGCTTTCACCCTTGCCCTCCTCACCTATTCCCAACACTGTAGCCAGAAAACTCATGTTCAGATGGAGGCAGATTACTATTTCCCCTCTCAAAATCCCTCAGTGGCTCTTCAATTCTCTGGGAGTAAGAGCCAAAGTCCTTAACATGGCTACAAAGCCCCTCCTTTTACTTCTGATCACACTCTTTATTCCTCTGACTCACTCCACCCAAGCTATACTAGCCTTTTTGCAATTCCTTCATCATGCCAGGGCTTTGCACTGGCTGTTCGTTCTGCCTAGAAAGCTTTCCCTCCCTTTGGTGTCTGTATTGGTCACACCTCCATCTCCTTCAATCCTTTGCTCACATTCTCAATGAGAGCAATTCTTACCACTCATTTAAATTGCTGTCTGCTGCCCTCTCCTCTGCCTTCCCCTCACTTGGTCTGTTTTTTTGTTGTTGTTTTTTTCCTTGTAGCACTATGTGCACTTTGTCACCTGCCATGTCACTTAACTATTTGTCAAAAAACAAAAACAAAAGCAAAACAACAAAAAACTATTTTTCATGGTTATTTGTTTCTTACCTGTATCACTCCATAAGAACTTAAGTTCAACAAGGGCAGAGACTTGGAAATTTTATCAGTATATCCTGTAGGACCTAGATCATTATCTGGCTCATGGTAGACTCCCTAGAAATATTTGTGGAATGAATGAAAGATGCAGGATTTCAATGCAAGAACATTCAAACTTGTGGAGAATTTTTGTAACAGTTTATTTGAACCAAACAGAAGACACATCTGGATGCAAGATCTCATCAGAGTGAGAAAAATGCTTCCCAGAATGACATTTTGCAGTTCCTTTCATACATTTGGAATTAGGGAGGGTAAAGAAGATTAGTACATGAATGTGGAAGGAAAGTAAGGCAGTGAAATCTCTATGATTGGATTACAGGATAGTTAACAAGAATATGTTCTCTCTTCAGGTTGGTTATGCTTCACAGGGATCTTAAAAAGAGGCTTTTCAAGTGTGTTAACCTAGATCAGTGATGGCAAACCTTTTGAGCTCAGCGTGTCAGCATTTTGAAAAACCCTAATTTAACTTTGGTGCCATGTCACATACAGAAATTTTTTTATATTTGCAACCATAGTAAAACAAAGATTTATATTTTTGATATTTATTTTATATATTTAAATGCCATTTAACAAAGAAAAATCAACCAAAAAAATGAGTTTATGTGTCATAGGTTTGCCATCACTGACCTAGATGCATAAAAACAATGAACAGGGCTTGCTTAAGGCAAAGATAAACTTTTTATGGGCCTGGGATGGGATTAATTACCATGACCTGCTCAGTTAGGAACTTGTGATCAGATCACCTTGTGAGGTTACTTTTGGTTAGGTTTATTACAGAACCCCTTTTTCATTCAGGACAAGCCAGGCTCTACAGCAGTAGTTTGTCATTAACGTTTGATTCTCCTCTCTTCTTATGGTGTATTAGTACTCTGATAGAGTTCTAATTTTATAATAGGACTAGAGGCCCGGTGCATGAATTCGTGCACAGGTGGGGTCCAGCCGGCCTGCACCAATGGGGGTCAGCCCTCCCTGATGGGGGCCGATTGGGGGTGGGGTTGGCCAGGGGGAGGAGTGGCAGATGGTTGGGGGGGCCTGATCGGGGCCCCGATGGGACCAATTGGCTGCTGCAGTGTGCATCGTCATAGCGACCAGTCATTTTGGTCTGTTGTTCAGGTCACTTGGCTTTTATATATATAGATGAAAAATAAACTCAAAAACTTTAGAATGTTCTACCCTTCTTTCCTCTTTCACTGTCTGCCTAAAGTTTTCAACATCCTCACATGGCTTGCTTCTCCCCCCACCCCCAATTCTCAGGTAATTGAGTTAGAATACTTCCTTGAGTCAGTTAGGGTACGTACAGCTTTGAGTTTGATATAAAACCTAATAGATGTGGAATGAATGTTGTTGGCTGCTATCCATTCTCACCTTTGTCCTTCCTAAAGGAACCCATATTTTATTCTGTATCCCATCCTTCTCACTTACAATAAAAAAATATCCCCAGGTATTGCCAACAGTCCTTGGGAGGACAATATCATTCTTCCTTGGAGCCAGGGGTTGGGCTCCAATATTTACTTCCTTTGGGGCAAGTAAATATTTTCTCTGAGCTGCTCTGGCCTTATGGATGCCAAATGTGTCAAAATGCAACTTCAAGACATCCAGGGATTCTTGTAGGAGGGGAGGGTCCCCAATCAACCTAGGTCAAAGCATTTAATGATATTCAGTGGGGTAAACACAATGACTCAAATTTTCAGAAGCAACCCTCTAAGTAAGTCGGTTGTTTTGAACTTCTCTCCAGACAATAGGGTGTTTTGGAACTTCTCACAGACAGTAGGGTGGTGAAGACTTGGGATGGGGGGTTGGGGGTTCAGGCTAGAAGGGGTCATGGGGGGAGAAACGGAACATCTGTAATACTTTCAAAAATAAAGATTAAAAAATAAAAATAGAGTGGAATTTGATTAAATAAAAATAGTAGGAATATAAATGGCTCTAATCTTGAACTGTCCTGTTGTTCCTTTCCCCTGGGTATGGAACAGTCCATAGTGCCTCTCAGGGGGGGACATACTTATACTGAAAACCTGTTTGTTGTTTATCTGAAATTCAAATTTAACTGGGCACCCTGTAATGAATGAATGAATAATGTTGCCCAAATTGGCTATCTGCAGTATCTCCCAGATCCTTTCTGCTGGAGCTTGCACTCTTGGTGAGGATCCACCTAACAGATATATTGGCTGCTTGTCAGATTGTCTATGCTGTCTTCTTGCATTGACTGTATAAACCGCTCCCTCTTCTTCTCCCACCATGTTGTATTTTGAAAAACATCAAACCTACAGAAAAATTTCAAGAAGTATACAATGGACATCCATATACTATTTACATAATTCACCAATTTTAACATTTTGTCACATTTCTCCCTTTGTGCATGTGTGTAT